CTGTAAATGGCATCAAAACCAGAGCTGAGTGCTCTCTGGTTCTGTCTATATTTCTTTTTCAGGCAATCCTAACCACTTATCTTAGAGCAAAGGGCCTGAGAGTCAAGACTTGGGTTCTGCCATCAAGTTTATCATTTACTAGTTCTATGACCAGGAGCAAGTCTCTTAGTGCATTTCAGTGTTCTTTAAAGACAGAAATAAAAGTGATGTAATGATTATAAAAATACTTGTAAGCCAAAGTGCTACACCAAGGTAAATTACCATAGAAGGCCTCAATCCCACTGCCTCTACTTCACTAATGAGAGACTTCCCTTCTCTGCTTTTCCATCATCTTTAATCTCTGTCATCTGTACTCACCACTCTTCCTCCCTTTTATCTGTATCATGTCCCCAGTGGTTCCCCCAGTATCATCTTGAGATTGCATCCACAACGATCTTTCCCATCTCTGCTCAAATTTTGATCTTTTATTATTACTGTTTTGTTTTCTAATCATTCTAGCATCTGTAACAGATGTTTTCCCTGACTAAATTGTAATCTCTTCTAATATCATCTTATGGTCATTCATTCAATAGACCTTAATTGTGGCCTCCAATTGCCATGCACGTTTCTAGGTACTAGGAGTACATCTGGGTACTTGGTATGAACAGAAAGACAAAAATCCCTTTGTGTGCTTATATCCTAAGGTAGCAGGGGCTATGCTATCTGGGAAGAATCAGTTTCTGCTCAGTAGTAATAAATGAAAAGGTAAAAACAGGCTTGTAATAAAAAGGAGTTTGCCTATAAAGTAGAAACTCCAGTTGGGAGGGAGCCAGGGAATAGATAATTCTAGCTAGAACAGAATAAAGTGGATCAGAGTGGGAATGGACTGACTGGGAATGCAGGGTGGAGGGGATGGGGTGAAAAGACAGTTAAAACCCAAGAAACCTAAGTATGTAAATAAGTATGTTAGAAGATAAATACCAAAGCATAAACGAGCAAAAGCTGAGGGGAGGGCATTTGGGCATGCACTGCAATTTTTTTTTTAAAAGATTTATTTTATTTAAAAAAGAAGCGGGGTACAGGCCAGATGTGCAGAAGGGTGAGAGGATTCACCAGAGACAGAGCGGGGTACAGAACAGGCAGATGGACGAGATACACTGCTGAGGGGAGCAGTGGGTGAGACAGGAGAGGTCTGCTCGCCATGTGGGTTGCTCCAAGGCTGGCGGGGATTGAACCGGCACTGCAGAGGCTGTGGACAGCTTCACAGCGCTGCACTCAACTGCCTGAGCCACCAGGGAGGCCCCTGCATGCACTGCAATTTTAAAAACCAAATATCTGAGACAAGTTGGCACTCATTAGCTTACAGTTTAAGTCATTTGAAACTCTTATCCATTAACCTACCTCTTCTATACACACAGACATAAAAGCTCTCCTTTAAATCAACAAAACAAATAACAAAGAGAAAAATCAGTAAACGTACAACATATTTGGAAAAAAAAAAAAACAACTCCAAAACAATGTAAACGAAATCAAGTTGGAGCATAAAGTAGATGTGCTTTTGGATTCTAGCCTTGCTGCTACTCAGGAGAGCTTACTTTAGAGCCGTTGGATGAACTTTAGCCTATATTTACTGTGCCAGCAAAAGAGAGAGACCTTTCTCCCACTTTTTAGTCATTTTTAACAATTTAACTCTTGAAAATAACTTTCAAGACCCATGGAGGGGGAGGATAGAAAGAGATTATGCTGACACAAATTCAAATATGAAATGTTACTCTGGTTTTAACAACCAACAGCTTTCTCAAAATTCAACTCTGTGGAAAGGGATAGAAATAAGGAAATGAGAGTCAAATTTAAATATACATCATCTACTAAGGTATTTGCCTCTAATTCATTTCCCATGAAATAATTTTACTACTTAATTAGGAATTTAAATTTAAAAGAGTGTAAATTAAACAAGATATTTGATCAATGTATCATTTTCATTTGACAGTATTCAGAATTATAGCAATCTCAGAACATGAATGGATTAAAACTTCAAGAATTACAAATCAGTTTCAAGAGATTTTAACACACCTAGCAATAAATGTCATGATCTCATCTAATGTTGGGCAATGCCTTAGACAGGGTAAAGATAAACGCCTTTCAGGGTAAAGGACTAATCTGTTGAGTCTAAATGTCAATTCAGGTGTGCAGGTAATTTTAAATTCATTGTCTAGACATTTTTTTTTTAAAGGGACAATAATCATAATGAGCCACATATTCTTACTGATGAAAACAATGCAGCGTATATATTTACATGTATATGTTTCTATATAAAAAAAGGAAAACTGGGCCTCCCCGGTGGCGCAGCGGTTGAGCGCTGGCTTGCGAAGCTGCCCGCAGCCTCTGCATTGCCGGTTCGATTCCCGGCTGCTCCCGGGCCACCAGAGGCGGGTCCCACATGGCGCGCAGACCTCTCCTGCCGCCCTCTGCTCCCCTCAGCAGTGTACCTTGGTCCTTCTGCCTGCTCTGCTCCCCGCTCTGGCTCTGGTGAATTCTCTCACCCTCCCACGCTTCTGACTGTACCCAGTGCTTGTATAAATAAATAAAAATAAATCTTTAAAAAAAAAAGGAAAACTAAGCTTGTATTTTTTAATTGTATGTGTAAAATGTAAATATTACTTTAAAAAATCCTCAGATATACAGAAATCATAGTTCTTCAGGGCTAGAAAAAGTTAATACTTCATGTTTACACTGAGCACTTACTCCATGAAACACTCCATTAGAATTAAAAAGGTGGTATTAACCCCCATTTCAAATGAGAAAAAAAATACAGAAATTGATTGCCCAAGGTCACCAGAGGGTAAAAAGCAGAGTCAGATTTAAACCCAGAAGTTAGACTCCCCATTAAATGCTTTTTATTGGTTTGTCATACTACTTTTCATGTTAAAGAAAATCCATAGTCTCAATAATTCATTTTACAGATGAGAGAAATAAAGCCCGCTGAAAGTGTATCCAAAGTCACACAACTAGTGGATAGAAACCGTGAGACCTGACTCCTGGTTCAGTGTCAGATCACCTGCTAATCTGTAAGAAGTACTTAAAAACCAACTCTAGGAAAGTTAAAAAATAATACATTTAATTTTTTTTTAAAGTGTTGAGCCATACAGGGGGCAAACAGGAAACAAAACTAAAAAGTAACATGACCAAATACTAACAGTATGTATGAGTGGTAAGAGAATGGGTGATTCATTTTCGTTCATTCTCTTTTCCCAATTTTATAACACTTCAATGTTCTGAAGTATCATCAGTGGTGCACAGACATACAAGAGTCCTGACAAGAAAAAAACTGGTCAAGAAAGCAAAAAAGATTCAATTATCCAAAACCGATCCCTTAAAATAAAGCTGCCAGGCACCTGCCTGAAAAGAACACACTGCCCCAGAGGTTCAGGAGGAGAAAGGCATATTAATTTCTGATTAAGCAACCGGCGCTAACAACATACAATAAAAAGTCGCCATTTCACCTTACAGATGAAATGGAAAAACATCCTTGATTTTCTACCATCACCCACCTTAACTCTTTGCCAATTTGAAAAGGAAAAAAGAAAAAGCCAGCGTAAATTGACCGCGCGTATCGTCACCAACAAGATTCGAAATACTTCTTAAAAATATTTTATTCCTTAAGACACAGGAATTTGCCTATTTTGTAAGTCTCTTTTAGCAAGCTGCAGACTCTCCGCGTGAACCTTAACACACCATACATCCACTCCGCGAATACTGAAAGGACAGGAGTTGCTTTTCAATACAAATGTAAAATGATTTATAGGGAAGGAGTCGGGAGTGGCAGGTTGCAAAGCTGGTTAATTTCATCCAAGAAGCGTGTAAGGCGGCTGCTGCGGGCCCGGCACTGGGGAGCCGCGAACACCTGACAGCCAGGTCAGCCTCGGTCCTCAGGGCCTCCCGACCAGGAGGCCGGGCCCGAGGCGCTCCCCCAAGACAGCGCGAGGGCGTCAGTCCAGAGGAGCCCCGGAGACTGGACCGGGCTCCGACTCGCGAACTAACCCGCCGCCGGGCCGGGGTGGAGGGAGCCGGAGTCCAGCCCCCGCGCCGGGGCGCAGCAGCCTCGGCCCGGGAGCAGCACCCCCCGCGGTCGGGGCCGGGTCCCCGCGAGGGGCGGGGAGGCCGCGGGGCCGGGACACGCGCGGTCGAGGCCCCTCGGCTCTCCGCAGGCGTCGTGCCCGGGGATCGGGGCGCCCTCAGCCCGGCCTCACCTCGGCAGCGAAGCGTCCTGGAAGCAGTGAAGCGGCCGAGACTGCCGATTGCCCGCGAGGCCACCATCTTGAGCGGGAGGACGAAAGTGGTGAGCGCCGCCAGCGGGGGCGGCCGGGCCGAGGGCTTTTCTTCTTCTGCGCCGGCCCCGCACAGGCGGCCACCTACCGCCTGACTGAAATTCCCGGGCGGCGTCGCCGCGGGCCCCGGCGCTTCCGGGTCGCGGCCGGGAGACTCCGGCCCCCGGGGAGGGCCGAGGCCCGCCGAGGCGGGGCGGGGAGCTGGGACTTCCAGTCAGGCGGCCGGCGGGCAGCCCGAGACTCCGCGGCCGGGCCTGAGGGGGCCTTCCCCGGCAGGACCCGCCCCGAGGCCCAACGAGTCTTGTCACTTGGACCCCAACTTTGCCGGCAGCCGCAGCCGCGAGGACGGGACCTGAGGTGAGGCCGGGAGGCTTTCCTCCCCACGCCCTCCCCACCCGCTGCGGCGGTGCCGGCGGCCGCGGCCGCGCCCGGGCCCGCCGAGTTCCAGGAGCGGAAGGAAGCGCCGGGGTGGGTCCCCCGAGCCGGGCGAGCGAGGCGGTCGCGTCGCGCTGTCCCTCGGGTCAGCGGCCTCCCCCGTCTGGGGCTGTCACCCCGGCTGTTGGCCTGTGGGGTGTTGGCTTAGCCTGGCTCGCGTTGTGGCGTTTGCTGTTGTTTTACCTGTAGCCAGGTCAGCGACCGCAGAGATTTAGAGCTGGGCCGGAGGGTTACCCCATTCCTGCTGCCCAGGGTGGGCCTTGGCCCTGCGGCCGTTGGGGACTGGGGTGTAGGAGGGGCTGGCACGTCCTCCGTCCTGCTCGGAGAGCCCGTTTCTTCCAGAGGATTTTCTAGTCCTAAAGGGACCGGGGCGGTCATCTCGTCAGTCCTTCTCTTCATTTGCTGGGTGAAGCCCGTGAGTCAGAGAGAGTGAGTTCACCCACGGCCACAGGTGGGAGAAGCGGTACTAGAGCCCACGGTCCTGATTTCTAGTCAGGATCTCTGCGCTCAACCATAACTGTTTTGGGGCAGGAAGGATGCTGTTGAGTTCTCGAATAAGGGAATTGATTGCAAAAGGAAGTAATGTTGAGGGCCCTCTAGGCATTTTCAGTCCATCTCACCGAATTATCACAATGTCAAAATTATTTGTGTTTTCTAGATGAGGTTTGGGAGATGGGGTGAGCTTATGCAGGTCTTCTCGGAAGGGGCAAAGCCGGGATTCGGACCTAAATCTGAGTCTATACACCAGTGTTTGACTTCAGAAAGAGAGACAGCAGGAAGGGGGAGAAGTTGGCACTGTAATGAGGAGTTGAAAAGAGAGAGGCTTCTTTCTGTTTAAAGTTCAAGTCAAGTAGTGAGTCCTCCGTCATTGTGAGCACTCTAAGCAGAAACCAGATGACTAATGATCTATTAATTTGTGAAAAGGATTCTTGATGCCATACAAAGGTCCTCCAAATCATAAGATTTTTAGTTTAGAGCTTGCCGCCTGCCCGCATCATGCTTTCCCGTGCACCTACTTTGTGAATTCACGGTGGCGAACTTTTTCTCTAAATGACCAGATAAATAGTTCAGGCTTTGTAAACCCACTTTGATCTTTGTCATTTATTCTTTGCTTTGCCCTACACCTCTTTAAAAATGTAATAGCTATTGTTAGGTAGAGGCCCAAGGATTGTAGTTTGCTAACCCTTAACTTAGATCATTTGCTAACCCTTAATTTAGATCATCCTTTTGGCTCCTCACCTTTTCCTTCCCTGTACACTCAACTGAATTGTAAATTCCATCAAGACAGGACAACTGCAATATTTCTTTGATACTGGACACTTTCGTACTTAAATAGAAGGAAACAAAGTACATTTATACCCTCTATTAATGCAAACACATGTATTATCCTTATTATGTATCAGGTACTGTTCTGAGTGCTTCACATATATTAATGTAGTTATTCCTCACAACAATCCTTTGAGGTAGGTACTGGAATTAATCTACATTTTATAGATGAGGGTCCAAGAGCAGAGAACGGTTAAGTCACTTGCTTAAGGTCATGTAACAAGGATGAAGTCAGGATTTGGATTTAGGCAGTCTGGCTTTAAAATCTACTCTCTTTTAACCATTACATTGTGTCTTAATGATATTGTAATGAGTTTTTAGAACTGTTGCGTCTTGCTTAGCCCCTAGCTCCTTCTTCCTTCCCCTTGCTCCTGGGTGCTTGCAACTTCATACATCTTTTAGAGTTCCATACCCTACTCAAGTTTACCCTGCCCTAGAGTCTCCAAGCTTCCAAATCCTTGAGTCAAAATTTCTGCTTCCTAAAACGTAGAGCAAACTCCTTTAGGGTAGTTTGCTTTGTTCTTGTTTTCAAATCTCTCTCTACTTTTCATTAATGATTAATTTTTAAGGAATATATATATATTTTTTTTCCAGAAACTACAAATAAGTCTAAAAATAAATTTATCTATATTCTTAGTACCCAGAGATAATTACTATTAACATTTTGCTATGTATTTTTCTGGACATTGTTGATGCATTGTTGATGCATTTTTATATATTTGTATAAATAAGATATTAATATACATACATTTTAATAAAACTAGAGTTATAGAATAAAATGCTGATTGTAAAAATAAGAAGGCAGAAGAATATAAAATGAAAACCCCTCTGTATCCCTTCCATGTATATACTCACTTTATGTTCTTTCCTTGTTTTCTCTCTTTCTATCATAAAATAGAATCTTATTAACTATACTGTCCTGCACCTTGCTTTTTCATTTAATATAGTGGACATCTTTCTATGCCAGTATATACATGTGTGGCAGTATGTTTTATTTTGTTCCAAATTGCCAAACAGTAATTCATGGTAAGTTTGTGCTATAATTTATTTAACCATTTTCTGTTGATGTGCATTTAGATTAGTTCCTGTTTTCCACAAATGTAACCAAAGCTGCAATGAACATTTTGAGTATTTCTGTAGGCTAGAGATCGATGTATACTACACATACATCTTGAATATTTCTATAGGTTAAAGACCATTAAGAAGAATTGCTGGGCTCAGAAATTCAGAATTCAAATTTTGATAACTAAAAACCGCCTTCCAAAAAGGCCTTAACAGATGTACTTCTATCCACTGTATATGTAATTGCCTATTTAGTTAGATTTATTCCTATTAGAATTGTATATTAATCACATTTTTAATATTTTCTGATAATCGCAAAATGATACCTTATTTTATTTTTTAAATTGAAGTTGAATATTTAAAATTCTGGTTATTTGACATTTTAATTTCTCATTTGACCTTTTGTTCATGTGTCAGGAAAACCTTTTGGTTGCAAATAATAGAAAATTCTACTCAAATTGACAAAGGAATTTGAGTCTAGAGCTTGGACTCACAGAATGGAAAAGCACAACCAATCTGGGTTTCAGATATGATACAGTCAGGGTTCTAGTTTTTCTGAGATCCTTGTCTAGTCTCTTTTGGCATCAGCTCTATCTTTAGGTGAGCTTTTTTCATGTTTGCAAACTGTTATAGCTGTGCCAAACTTCAGAAGGAAGAAATTTATATTTTAGACTTCCAAGCAGAAGGCTTGTCATATATACCATCCTTAAATCAGTACCAGTGATCAAGGGAATACCATGCATGGTTGTTCTAGATCTCAGTTACCTGAGCCTCTGGTCTTGGCAGAGAATGCAATTACTCTGGTTAGTTTAAACCCTAAAGTTGGAAGAAAAAAAAACCAACGCTAAAGTTGTGTTGGATTCAATGCTAGGTAAACCACATATGATAACTACATTAGGGAGCAAATTGAACATTGGGGTGAAAAACAGATTCCATTACAAATTGTTTCTCTTTTTCCTGAAATTTCTAGAAGTTCTTTATGGATTATAGGTATTTACCCTTTGTTTTACATGTTAGAAATATTTCTATGAATTTATTTGCCTTTTAACTTTATTTTAGTATCGTTTGCTGTGTAGATAGTATAAACTTTCAAAAATCAGATCTTTTTGTTATTCTTTTCTGCTATGGCCTTTGGGTTTTGTGCCACATGTTTGGGTTGATGCCTTTCCGCATTTCAAGTTACAGAAATACTCTCTAATAGCTTCTCCTAGTACTTTTATATCTATGTATACACTGTATAGAGTAATCCATCTGGAACTTATTTGCACTTATGGTGCGAGTTATGGATCTAAATTTTTTTCCAAATGGTTAACCGTTTCCCCAACAAATCTATTGAATAATTCATCTTTCTCCTGCTTATTTGTAATGTTGTCTTTATTACATACTTAACTCATATGCAGATGTGTATACAAATTCTGAACTTGGTATATCCTGTTCTGTTGATTAGTATCATTTTTTTTTTTGTACCAGAATTGCACTATTTATTACTGGTGATTTATAGAAATTTTTGATACCTGTTAGAGCAAAGTTTCCTTATCAACATTTTCTTGACTTTTTTTATGAATTTTATTTCAAGATGAACTTAAGGGAATTTGTATCCCAGTCTTAGGTTACATATGTAGCCTCTGGAAACAGTGGTGTCCATCTCAAGGCCCAGTTGTGTTTCCCTTACCATATTTCTTTGAATATCCCTGGGCAGGGAGCCTAGAGCTTGGATTCCCTCTCTCTCTTTCCAGTCCACTTATTTGGAAAATGTAATTCTTTTTTTTCTTTCTTGAAACTACAAAACATCTTTTTAGCCAATGAAGATGCAAGTTAAGCAAAGCTTTCATATTATACATTACTGTATAACAAATTATCCTCAAATTTAGTGGTTTAAAACAGTGTTATCTCATGTAGTTTTTGGGGGTTAGGAATAGCTGACTTAGCTGGGTTGTTCTGACTTAGATTTTTCATGAAGTTGCAGTCAGAATGTTGGCGAGGGCTGCAGACATCTGAAAACTTGCCAGCACTGGAGGCAAGCTTCCAGCTTATCCACTTACAACCTCACTCACGTGGTTGTTGGCTGTAGACGTCAGTTCCTGACCATGTACTGTTGCTTAAGATGTGCTGTCTGGCTTCCCCCAGGGTGAAGGAGAGACCAAGATGGAAGCTGCAGTATCTATTAGAGCCTAATCGTGAAAGTGACATATGAGCACTTCAGACATATTTTTTTGTTTGTTTTTGCAGACCCAACTGTGATACAGTGGGCGAGAGTTTTTACAAGAATATGAATACCAAGAGGTAGAAGTTAATTGGGGCCACCTTGGGTACAGGCTACCACAGCCTTCAGAGGCATGTCTTGCCATGTTATTCTTCTTTATTTTTTTTTTAAGTTAAAACATGTTTCAAAATTGAGAAATTGTAAAATATGTACAATGGCAAGTCTTCCTTATTCCCTGATACTTGGTTTCCTTCTGTTCAGCTAATCTTTATTTTTAACATCTTATTTCTGCTTCCAGGGAGAATTTGTACAGATACAAGGAAATTATATATTATTTTTCCATTTTAACCTCAATGATTGCACCTTGCTTTTTTTCACTTTAATAATATGACTTAGAAATGATTCAGTATTGGTGTAACTGCTGCCTTTTATAGCTGTGTATGCCATTGAGTGATTATAGCATGGATTACTTAACCAAGTCTCTATTTATTGGTTGTTTTAATCTTTTGCTATTACAAGCATCAATATCATAGGTTATGTCCTAATATCCATGAAGTAAATTCATGGAATTGGATTTACTGTCTCAAAAGTTAGGTGTAGTTATAGTTTTGATAGTTAATTGCCAAATTGCCTTCCATAGTGATTACACCAGTTTACCCTCTCAGCATCTGTATATGAGATGCCTGACTCTGCATACTCTGACCTACACAATGTTGATCAAAACTGAATCTTTGACAATTTGACAGGTCAAAATAGAGTCTCTCTATGGTTAGAATGTGCATTTCTTTTATGAATGAGATTGGACATCTCTTCATATATTTTAGGGCCATTTATATTTCCAAATACATGTGTGTCATAGCCTTTGTCATTATTTTCTTACTGATTTGTAGAAACTCATTGCTTAGTGTACATTCTCTTCAAATACAAACATTCCACAAGGCAGTCTGCATGATCATAATATAACCTTCAAAATCAGGAAATTAACATTGGTGGCTTCATGACCACACCCAGCAGTCCTACTCCTGTCACCCTAGAGAAGAGCACAAACCCTGGAGCTGTGAATCAGGCTTCAAATCCCAACTCTGCACCTAGTGGCTATGGGATGTTGGTCTAGTCTTTCAGTTTTGTCATCCCTTTATATAGGGTGTCATAATCATACCTACTCCATAGGTTATTGTGGGGATTAGATGAGTTAATGGTTAGAACATTGATTTGCACACTCTGAAAGCCATGTCATTGTAGCCATGATAATACTGGAGCAGGATGGGCCTCCCCTGGTGGCGCAGTGGTTGAGCGCTGGGCTGTGAAGCTGCCCACAGCCTCTGCAGTGCCAGTTTGATCCCCGGCTGCTGGCGAGGGTCCCACATGGCTCGCAGACCTCTCCTGCCGTGCCTGATGCTCCCCTCAGCAGTGTATTTTGCCAGTCTGCCTGTTCTGTTCCCCGCTCTGGCTCTGGTGAATTCTTTCACCCTCCCGTGCTTCTGACTATACCCAGTGCTTATATAAATAAATAAATTAATCTTTAAAAAAAAAAACTAGAGCAGGAATAATTGGTAATACACTAAATTTTATAGTGTCTTGTAGTAGCTGTGGATGAAGTTATCAGAGATCATAGATTATAAGTCATGAATTGTTCAAATAACCTAGGACATATTTTTATTCTTTTGTTTTTAGATTTCAGAATGACTTCCATCTTGACTTACACTTTTAAAAGTTTTCCCACTACATCAAAATGGGCCCTGAGATTTTGTAAGTTTAATTTATTCTTTCTTTTTTAAAGATTAGATTTGGGTTTGTAAGCATCTTACATAGACTTTGAATTAGATTGATGTTTAAAAACACTTTATTTTGTTTTTCAGCTATAAGACCTCTGAGCTCTTCTTCCCATCTACGAGCTGCCCCAGGTACAGTAATTTGTAAAATAAACCTTTCTAATTTAAATGTTAGATTCTAGATCTGTGAATTCTGAATAAAAACTAAAACTAATTTGCTTTCCCCTTATAAGCAACATGAATATTACCATTGCCTTCAAATTAAAAATATGTAGAGCCAGTTAGTAATGATATCATATGATGTGGGGTTAGGCTCAAGGATGTGGTAAGAGGTTGCTTCTGGCATTTGGAACCTGGGGGAGTCATGGAGTTTCCTGGAGCCTTGCTGGTCAGTTTATTCACCCCAAGGCTGTCAGTCTTGGGGATGATTAGCTTACACTGTGGAGACTATTCTGGAGCCAAGAGTTAACTTTTAAAATTTGCAATTAGAGATTAGCTTCTGTTTATGGATATCTTCTTGTTCCACATAAAAGAGGACCTGTTCCTGAAATAGGGGTGACTAGGGAACTAGTTAATAAGAGAAGATTGTTTAGTCAGTATGAAAAGAAAAGTAAGGAAATTGTTGATTTTTATATGGTCGTTTAGATCCTCAGTAAACCCAGTAAATTGGAATTCTTCACTGTGGATTACTTACTTTTGTGGAAATTCTGTAAGTATGTATCTTGACTGGTCATTGCTGAAAACACCTTGACAAATTCATACCTTTATTCTCCTTAACCAGGTCCTTTATTGGCTGATCTGTGACTTCTGTTTTTGATTCTGTTGTTGTATTTCTACTTGCTTAATAACTCATTAGAAAAAGCACCTTACCAGGATTCATATGACCTCTGCTCTATACCGATTCTTCCTTGCTATGCAGTATCACCTTGTACTGGTCACTTTACTAAGGCACTTCCCTGTGCTTTAGTTTTCTTGTCTAAAAACCTCAAGTAGTTATGAAGCTATCTCAAAGCAGTTTGAAGACTATAAGCTCAATATAAGTGAAGATGATTTTACATTTAGTATAGTCTTAGAGATATGTTGCTTAATCCCACTGAGAGAAGTTTCTTGTTCCATGTATATTCCCTGTGGTCGCTAAATTCTAATTGGAATATTGATTTGTATTAACCTTACAATGAACATTTCCTTACTGTCTTATTTCACCTTTCCCCTAATTCCTATGTTAACCCAGGGCTTTGCTTTGCAGTTACACAAAAACCTAATTCTTGCCAAATGGGAGAAGGTCACACTGAATACAAAGGGAAAGCATTCAAAAGTTTAGAGTATTCTCCTTTAGTATACTCAATGTTTTTGTCTCCCCATCTGGTGAAACTTAATTCTTTTCTAACACCGAGTGTCTCATGCTGTCCTCCAAGTGACTTGTGTTGACACTGATGCTGATGTTGTGCACAAAGACGCATCATAAGACAGAGGGCAGCTGATGAGGAGAGGAGGGTGGCATGTGCCTGTTCTGAGCAGGGTTTAGGTGGCAATAACTTTATAACTAATTTCTCTTGAAGTTCATATGACTGTCCTTGCTTGGCAGAGCCTTTTGAACGAAGGAATTAGAACAGAGAGATACAGGATTTCTTGATGTTTTCAGTCAGCTGATGGACTGAAAATATAAGTGCCTGATGGAAATTTTCCATGATTCAAGGGGATCTGTATATATATGCACACATATATTTTATCCTTTTCATGTAGTCTGCAAATCTCCAAGTTTAGTGGTCTTTTTTTCAGTCCTTGTTCTCCGTGAGTATTGAAACTTTTGACCATCATGTTCTCCATGATACTCTACTTTACTGTTCTGTCCTGATTCTCATGCTTCTTTGCTTCAATTCCTAAGACAGAGACTCTGACTTTGGTATTATTTCCCTACTGGTTATCTGTTTATGGTCCAGGGCCATCCTGTACTTGATTATTATTTTGTCTGTTGGTTTCGGGACATGGTATCTCTGGCCCTTTAGCAGGGACTGTAAGCATAGCAGCTTCCTTTTGAGGAGGCAGTGGATGGACAGGCATTATAAAATATTTCTCTGCTTTTCTTCTATAATCTAAACTTCAGATATCTCTGTGCTATTCCATCTACACCTCACTTCTCCCCAGAAGTTTAGTTTTCGATCTCTTGCTACCTGTCAGATGCATAGATCCACTTGGATGTCTCTCCACCTTAAAATTAGCTTGTCTAAAAATGAGGTCATCTTTCTTCTGAAACCAGATCTTTTTTTTTTTTTTAAACTTTTTTTTTTTTTTAAATAGAGGCATGTTTATTTATTTATTAATTATATTTGTTTGTTTGTTTTGTTTATACATGCACTGGGTACAGTCAGAAGCGCGGGAGGGTGAGAGAATTCACCAGAGCCAGAGTGGGGAGCAGAGTAGGCAGAAGGACTGAAGTACACTGCTGAGGGGAGCAGCGGGTGGCAGGAGGGGTCTGCGCACCATGTGGGATCCTCCTCCGGTGGCCGGGGAGCAGCCGGGGATCGAACCGGCGCCGCAGAGGCCGCGGGCAGCTTCGCAACCCAGCGCTCAACCGCTGCGCCACCGGGGAGGCCCTGAAACCAGATCTTAATTCTGTGTACAGTGACTTGGTTTTCTTATCTTAGTCTCTACACTTCCTTTATAACCCTGTTTTCCTTTCTTTCCACATTTGGTCACTAAGTCTTCCATTATAAAATTTTTTGTATTGGTATTGATCCCTTCCTTTCCACTCACACTGAGACTCTCTTTATTCTGACCTTTTTTTTTTTTTTAAGATTGATTTATTTTGTAGAAGAACTGGGGTATAGCCCAGAGGTTTGCGGGGGTTGGTGAGAGGATTCACCAGAGACAGAGTGGGGAGCAGAACAGGCGGCTTGACTGAAATACACTGCTGAGGGGAGCAGTAGGTGAGACAGGAGAGGTCTGTTGCACGATGTGGGTAGCTCCCTGGCTGGGGATGGAACTTAGGCCACAGCGGTGATAGCCCTGAGACTTAACCCCTAGACCACCAGGGAGGCCCCCGTTTATTCTGACTTTTAGCACCACATGTTTGAGTTTGCAACAATCTCTTTGTTTATCTCCCTGCTTCCTTCACCAACAAATCTCCAGTAGAGCTGCCAGGATAATCTTTGAACCCCATTTCATCTAGACTCTTAGTTCTGGCTACTATTTCCTTTAAGTTGGTTGTAGATATTTACAACAAATAATTCTCTATGATGTTAGTGGATGGGGTAAAGTGATTATTAAAATTTTATTCCCTTGAGTCTCCCCGGTGGTGCAGTGGGTTAAGCACAGTGCTGTGAGGCTGTCTGCAGCCTTGGCAGCACCTGTTTGATTCCTGGCCAGCCAGGGAGATACCCACATGGCACAGCAGACCTCTCCTGTCTTGCCCGCTGCTCCTTTCGGCAGTGTTTCTAGTCTGTCTGCCTGCTCTGCTCTGTCTCTGGTAAATCTTCTCACCCTCCCGCACATCAGGCCTATACCCCAGCTCTTGTATAAATAAGTAAAACTTTAAAAAAAAATTTTATTCCCTGCTGTTCAGCAATCAAAAAAGATAGACTAATGCCATTCACAGCAACATGGATGGAGCTAGAAGAAATTATGCTCAGTGAAATAAGTCAGAAAGAAAAAGAAAAATATCAGATGGTTTCACTTATAAGCGTAATATAGGGGAACCAAATAATACATCAAGGGAAAAAATAATAGCAATACAAAACACAAGAAAACAAAAACAGACAATTATAAACCAGAGATATGCTGCAGGGGAGGGAGAGGGTTTGGAGGAGGGGAAGAAGGAGTACAGGGGACTGTGATGATGGTACATGGGTGACTTGGTGGAGGAAATTCTGTGGGGACTATACCTGAGGGGGGGAAGCAAACATTGTTTAAAAATGAATAATGAGGGACTCCCTGGTGGCGCAGGTGGTTGAGCACAGCGCTGTGAAGCTGTTGGCAGCCTCTGCAGTGCCAGTTCTATCCCTGTCAGCCTCGGAGCAATCCATATGGCGAGCAGACCTCTCCTGTCTACCCGCTGCTCCCCTCAGCAGTGTATTTTGTCAGTCTGCCTGTTCTGTTCCCTGCTCTGTCTCTGGTGAATCCTCTCACCCTCTCACTCATCTAGCCTGTACCCCAGTTCTTATATAAATAAAATAAATCTTTAAAAAAAAATTAAAATGAACAATGATGTAAAAAATATATAAATAAATACATTTTTTTAAAAAGGAAACAATAGGATAGATAGAGGCAGCATTATAATTATTGAACACTGGAGTTCTGAATAAAATAGAATGAGAAATATTGATTCTATCGTTTTATCATGAAATTAAAAAATTAAGTACCAAAAAAATAAATAAAATTTTATTCCCAACAGTTTAGGATTTTTTTCTATCTGTGATAATGAAGGAGTGATGATAGCAAGTGAATTTCAATATTAACAACAACTGAAAAAGGATGAAATGTATTTAGGTATACCAATACAAAAAGATCTTCAAGCTATATTATTAGGTCAGAAAAGTGTACATAATAAACTAAATTAATAGTTATGTTAAGACGAGCTGAAAAACTAACCCTTGATACTCACTACAGAACTGAGACACACCAAAGGGGGAGGGATTGGGGGAGGGGAAGGGACAGGGTGGGAGTAGGCACAATGGTCTGTGGTGGTGGAAGATGGGGAGAGTTGGTGGTAGATGTACCATGGTGGTAATACCTGATGGGGATACCCCACTGTTACCTCAGTTAATAAATAAATAAATAAGAAAAATGAAAAAAAAAAGTTATATATAACATACAATTGTATCCTTGTGCATACCTTTAAAAAAGTTTGAATTTATATACCAAATTAATAGTAAAGTACTTTTGGAAAGGAAATAATATAGAGGGTCAGGGCATTAAAAGGTAACTTTAGTTTTTACTCGCCATAGTTTAATATTGTTTACTTTTATTTTTACATAAGCATATATTTACTTTTTACTTTTTTAAAAATTATATATATATATTTAAAGATTTATTTATTCATGCATACAAGAACTGGGGTACATGCCAGAAGTGTGGGCGGTGAGAGGATTCACCAGAGACAGAGTGGGGAGCAGAACAGGCAGATTGACTGAAATACACTGCTGAGGGGAGCAGCGGGCGAGCCAGGAGAGGTCTGCTGCGCCATGTGGGTATCTCCCTGGCTGGGGATCAAACTCGTGCTGCAGTGGCTGCAGATCGCTTCACAGGTTGCATCTCAATCCCTTGCGCCACCAGGGAGGCCCGCTTTTTACTTTTTTAATTAAAAGAGTTAGAGAAAGGTTGTTCTTTTGATCTTAGAAAATAGGCAAATTGAGTTAGTCAGGAAGCAGTCTCAGTTTTACAGACTGGCAATAGTCATTAACCAAATGACCTTTATTTTTACACAGAAAGGCAAAAATATTAAATTATGTAAAGAGCAAACATCAGTTACTGCAAGTTCTAATACCAAAGGCAATCTTATGTGGATAATTGGTTAATTTCATTTTGATAGTCAAAAAGTTGAGGAAAACAATTTTGTAAATGACATGAAGACCCACATCATTGAGTCTAAATACTCTCATTGTTAGTTGTAATCTTTGTTTATCTTAAATGTTATTTGGAAACTTTTTTTTTTAAAGATTTATTTATTTATGCATACAAGAACTGGGGTACAGGCCAGAGGTGTGGTGGGTGAGAGGATTCACCAGAGACAGAGTGGGGAGCAGAACAGGCAGATCGATGGAAATACACTGCTGAGGGTAGCAGCGGGCAAGTCAGGAGAGGTCTTTCGCACTATGTGGGTTGCTCCCTGGCTGGAGTTCCAACTTAGGCTGCAGTGACCACGGACAGCTTCATAGGTTGTGTCTTAACCCCTTGTGCCACCAGGGAAGCCCTATTTGGAAACTTTTAAGTAACAGTTGAAGTTGTTTGGTAAGTGGCAAATGCAACTTGGCACTAAACAATGTAATTCTTAGAATGTTTGTCCTTAAAATGTGACGAGTCACAGTTTATACAGGTGCTTTGGTGTGGTGAGTGTGCTGTGGTGTCTGTAGGGGCTGGGATGTCAGAATCCTGTATCTTACAAAATACTAGCAACAATGGGAGGGACCTCAGTAGTATTTAAAAAAAATAAAACTCTAATCAGTACTGTTTAAAAAAATATGGAGCCATTGGCTTTACTGTTTTAACTGGTAATTCTTTGTACTTTTTCTTAAAGCTGTCCAGACCAAATCAAAGAAGACCTTAGCCAAACCCAATATAAGGAATATCGTGGTAGTGGAAGGTGTCCGCACTCCATTTTTGCTGTCAGGCACATCGTAAGTATGAAATGATTGTGTTATTTTCTGCCAAATTTCTTGAGGTTTGATTAGCAAAAACTGTCTAGATTGCATGATGTGGTTTTCATTTAAAAGTACACAATGTGATGCTTTTACATGTGTACACATTGTGAAAGGAATGCCACAGTTGGGCTCATTAATGTGTACATCACCCTATAGAGTTCATTCCTTCATTTAAGGCACTTTTAACAGTGATATTTGTAGCTGTAACCCAGTAGGTAATACTATTATTAGTGGACTAGTTAACATAGCATTTTCATGAAGTTAATAAGACTAGGCTTTGGGTTTAAATTGTTTGTTTTTTGGGGGCCTCCCTGGTGCCCCAAAGGGTTAAGCACTGCACTACGAAGTATTCCGCAGCCACTGCAGCACGAGTTCGATCCCCGGCCGGCCAGGGAGCAACCCATATGGTGCAGCAGACCTCTCCTGACTCGCCCGCTGCTACCCTCAGCAGTGTGCTTCGGTCAATCTGCCTGTTCTGTGCCCCACTCTGTCTCTGGTGAATCCTCTCACCCCCTCCCCCACTTCTGGCCTGTACCCCAGCTCTTGTATGCATAAATAAATAAATCTTGGGCCTCCCCGGTGGCGCAGCGGTTGAGCGCTGGGTTGCGAAGCTGCCCACAGCCTCTGCAGCGCCGGTTCGATCCCCGGCTGCTCCCCGGCCACTGGAGGAGGGTCCCACATGGCGCGCAGATCTCTCCTGCCGCCCGCTGCTCCCCTCAGCAGTGTACTTCGGTCCTTCTGTCTGCTCTGTTCCCCACTCTGGCTTTGGTGAATTCTCTCACCCTCCGGCGCTTCTGACTGTACCCAGTGCTTGTATAAATAAACAAATAAATAAATAAATAAATAAATAAATAAATAAACCTTAATAAATAAATAAATAAATCTTTAAAAAATAATAAAAATAAATTATTTGTTTTCTTTCTCCAGATACAAAGACCTGATGCCACATGATGTAGCTAGAGCAGCACTTTTGTAAGTAAATGCAATTTCATTTCAGTTTTTTTAAATGCTGAATTACATTCCTCTGAATATATCATGAAAAGCTCTGTTAGTTGGTTTGGCTTTCCCTTTTTTCATTTAACTTTTATTTATTTTATTGAAGTAACATTGTGTTTTAACATATGTTTTAGGTATATTTTATTGAGAATCAACATGTCTGTATTACACTAAGGTCACCACTAAGAGTCTGTTTTTGTCATTCACCATTATTAACTTAGTAACACTTTTGTCTAGTTTTTACACTTAAAATGGCATGTTTGATAAAATGGCCCAATCTTGGATATATTAATTTTTATGTGATGAGAAAGAAACCACTAACTTTTACAAGATTTATTTATTCATTTTAGCCATTTGTGCTACACAAATTCAGGTATCTGGTGAATATCAGTGATCTTTATTTTGTAGACTTGACAGTCTCTTGGCATGGCAGTATTCTTTAATGAGATGGGCTTGCCGTAAGTCATAAATCTTATGGGACAAGATTGATCAGCTAAATACAGTACCTATTTTTGATGGTTATCATAGACAGGAACCTAGTTAATGTATAGGGATAGTGAACAGGTTATGCAAATATTTATCTACAAAGGATTTAGAATGACACCTGAAGTTTTACATGCAAAGCAAGTAAAAATTAGATGTAGTTACATGATGTTGAACTGGGTGAATAAAATGAGAGTCATAAAACGTGTGGCTGTTTCTGTGGTGAAAAATCATCTCAATGGAAATCAGTCATTTCCATTCCTGATTCGCTTTGTGTCTTCAACCAATCACAGGTTTTTCATAGTTTGAAAAGACACTTCAGTTTTCTTTTCTTCTTATCTGGTTCTGTTTCTTCTTTTTCTGCTGGACTTAAAAATAAATGGGGAAAAAAATAAAAGAAAAAAGACCATAGAAAACAAACAAAAGAATAAATGAAAGTATAATTGCTTTTCTTTTCTTTCTATCCATTTACTCTCCTTAATCTCATAACCACTTTCATTTCTATCTCAAAATATAGTGCTTTGGACGTTTGTTTTAATGACTTTTCTAGGCCCTCGCTGGTGGTTAAGTCTCTTCACTATGAAGCTAAGGCCAGCCGCTGCAGCACCAGTTCGATCTCTGGCCAGGGAGCTGACCCAAATGGTGCCCCAGACCCTTTCTGTCTTGCCCTCTGTTCCCCTCAACAGTGTATTTCAGTAGATCCACCTGTTTGCTCCCCACTCTATCTCTGGTGAATTTCTCACCCCCACTCCGCACCTCTGACCTGTACCCCAGTTCTTCTATGTAAAAATAAATAAAATCTTTTTTTTTTTTTTTTTTTTAAGACTTTTCTAGGGCGTCCCTGGTGGCCTAGGGGTTAAGTGAGTCTCAGTGCTATCACCACTATGGCCTGAGTTCCATCCTCTGAGTTTGATCCCTGGCAGGGAGCTAACCCACATGGCGCAGCAAAACTCTCCTGTTGTGTCCGCTGCTCCCCTTAGCAATGTATTTCAGTAGATCTGGCTGTTATGTTCCCCACTCTGTCTCTGGTGAATCCTCTCACCCCCTGCACCTCTGGCCTACACCCCAGTTCTTCTATACACACATACATACACACTTTTCTCTAAAACACCAAATGCAACTGATCTGTTTTCAGGCCTTAGCCTTTTTGTGTTTTATAGCATTTGATACTATCAGCTCTACTTAAAATTCTCTTTTTTGACTTCTTGATATTAAGCCTTCATGATTTTTCCTTTTATCTCCTGATTGATTCATCTTTACTTTTTTTTAAAAACAGGTCTTTCTCTTTTTACAATGTATTTTGTAAGTTTTAGTTCCTAGAGCTTTGTATTTATCTGTATGCATGTTTTTCTTTTAAAAATCTCATCTATTTAATCATTCATTTTTATGAGAACTCCCAAATCTCTAAATTAGAACTTTTTCTTAGATATCTCAAACTTAGCATGTCGCAAAATAAAATCTATCTTTTCCTGAAAGCCAGTTTATTTTCCTGTATGTGATAGTGTGTTGCTATTTCTTTTTATTCTCAGACTGGAGTTTTGCAAGTTTTTCTTCAACTTTTTAGTAGATGTCAAGTACTCAGTAAAATTTAAAAAATATTACAGTGAACACCTAAATATCCCCCATCTAGATTTAATAATTGTTGCCCTTCAAACCATATTTCCTATATCTATATGGTTTGGAGCATTTGGTAATAAATTGCAGACATTGTGATACTTCAATCCCAAATACAACAGATTTTATCTCCTAAGAATAAGTACCTTTTCCACCATCCAATATACCATGGCTAAGATCATAACAAAAATTCTGTGGTGGCTTCTGATTTCCAGTTCATAGTTAAATCCTCAATTGTTCCAAGAATATCTCTTCTTTTAATAGTTTTTCCACACCAGGACCCAGTCAAGGTTCATAGTACAAATGGATATGTCTCTTAATCTCTTCTAATTTAGAACATCTTTCTTCCTTGCTCATATGCAGTCCTTCCTTATTCTCTGTCCTTTTGTTCCCCCAATGACTCTGAGGTAGGTGTCTTTTTGAAAAGTCCAGACAGTTGTTCTATATAATTTTTCCCCACTCTGCATGTTTTTTCATGCTAATATTTAACTTTCCTCTATGAGTAGCCTATAAACTGCAAGTTAGATATAGAGATTTAATTATATTTAGGTTGAACAGTTTTTTGGTAAGAACGCTTCATGAGAAAAGCACCAGGATATGGCATCATGTCAAGAGGCACCTGATTTGTGATGCTAAATCCAACCACTTGATGATGGTGGTCAGGCTGTCAGATTTTTTATTATAAAGGTATTTTTCCTCTTGCAATTAGTAATCTGTTAAGTGATATCTTAGCACAATGTAAATATCTTATTCCCCAACAAATTTTCACCAAATATTTTTAACATTCATTGATAATTTTTGTCTGAGTCAGTTATTACATTAGAGATTCCAGATTTGTGATTTTCCTAATCATATTAGGCTGATATTTTTCTGCAGAGAGCAAGGTTTTTTTGTTTTTTTGTTTGTATGTTGAGGTCTTAGGGGTTTTGTTTATTTATTTATAGCCAGTTAGTCATTCTTCCTGAAGTTGAGATTATCCCATAATTTATCTGTGAGAGCACCTTCAAGTTGTCTCCTGTGTCCCTTTTTAGAATAAAATCATTTTGGGGGGCCTCCCTCGTGGTGCAAGGGGTTAAGTCTCGGCACTCTGAAGCCACTGTAGCACAAGTTTGATCCGCGGCCAGGGAGCTAACACATTTCTTGCCCACTGCTCCCCTCAGCAGTATATTTCAGGCAATCTGCCTATTCTGCTCCCCACTCTGTCTATGGTGAATCCTCTCCCCCGCCCTCCTCCCCATACCTCTGGATTGCACCCCTGGTCTTGTATGTGTAAATAAACAAAATCTTTTAAAAATTATTTTTTGAATATAATATATATACACAGATTTTCAATATTTAGTTTGATGAGTTTTGACTCATCAATGTATACGTCCATGTTCCTGATTTTGATCTGGTCCCAGGAGTCTTTGAGCGCTTTCTTATTTTTGACGCACAAAAACGGATAAGTACAAAACTCACTTTGTACTTTTCTTGCTTCAGATTTAGTTTCAGTCACTTTTAAAAAATGACTAACAGAATGGCATTTTGAAACCAAATCTGAGTTTCAGGTATACTCATTCCTACTGGAGAGTTACTGCTTCTGGTCTATCAGTGGATAGAACTAGAGAAATATATCGTGTTTATATTGGTATATCAAATTTAAATTTAATATACCTTGTGTTTTACTTCTTATTTCGATTTATATTTGTCTCTTTTTTCTTTTGACTGAAACCTTTGGTTCCAACTATAACTTTACTATGCTTACTACATATCTTTTAGCCTATTTCAAATTATTTTTGGTTCTTCCATCCAACTTTTCATTGCCAATGACCATTAAATGTTGACTTTTTTTTGGGGGGGGGGTATTGTGACATTGAATGGAATACATTTCTTTCCCTTTATTGAAGTAACATTGGTTTACAGCACTTTGTATGATCAAGGGAAGTAGGTTCACACTTCCTCAGATGCATGATACCACCCACCCTAATGTTGACTTTTAAAATCAGTTATTCATTTCTTCTTTGATAAGGTGCACATGCTTGTTAAATTAAGGGAAAGGTGCAATTTCTGACGGTTTGAATTCACAGTTAATCTTTTTTTCAAGTAAGAATAGTGTTTTATGTGATGATATATGGCACTCCCTTGATGTATGAAATGTTTCTTTTCTTTGTATTTCACTTTCAGGGGGCTATTGCATCGGACCAGTGTCCCAAAAGACATTGTTGATTATATCATTTTTGGCACAGTTATACAGGAGGTGAAAACAAGCAATGTGGCTAGAGAGGTAAGATAAACTTGGTATTTGTTTAAAGAGATTGATGGGAGAATCAACCTAAGTTTCACCTAATAGAATTTACTATTTAAAAACTATTAAAATCCTTTGTTATGATTTTATAACTTGAATAATGAATGTCACTTATATTTAAAAGATTTATACTTTAACTAAAAGGACACACACTAAACTAGATTCATACTATACTACAAATCAAATCAGTTGTTTGAGCTGGTTTAATGTTAATTTGTCTCTCTCTTACATTAGAAACAGGTTAACAGATTGTGGCAAAGTGTGACCAATATAACTTTTAGTAAGTTACAGAGCATGGCTTCTAATTAACTTAAAATTTCAGCATTTTTCAAAGAACTTAATTTGTTACATGGGTTTTATTGGAAGTAACCTTGATTATTCATCTGTTCCCATTGACTAGATTGCATGTAGGGCAGTTTTTTTAAAAGCATTTCACAGGCATTTGCTTTTACCCTAGTTGGCATAGCTCCATGTAGTGTTTATTGGGCAACCAAGATAATAACAGGCCTTCGCCCTTCTGGGACATGTCCTGCAAGTATTTTGTAATCAGTAGTCCAAACACATCTTCTGGGCTTTGTTCCAATTTAAAAGTGATTATCTGGAAAAAGTTGCCTTTATCAAAATACGCATTTCAGTGTGCTAAACATTTTCTTTATTTCGTGTCTGTGCTTGTCACATTATTGTGTCAGTATAGTTGTAAGGGTTGTAACTTCCTTTACTGTCAGCCTAGGGGATGGGTAAATGAGCAAGACTGAAAGTATTTGTTCTACCCTACCTTTTTATTGGTCAGTAAATGTTAAAACTGCTGAATGCTTGGCATTACTAAAGTCCACAAAAATCAATTGTATGTTAGGGGAGCAGGAAAGTATTAAGGACAGGAAGAGGTTCTTTACCTCACCTAATTTTTTTTTTGTTTTCCCTAGACCATCACATTTCCAAATGTACCAACTATGGCAATTTTATGACTACATCAAGGTGTTCATAGTACATTCTCAACTTAAAAAAAAAAGTTTTTATTGAAGTAATACTACATTATATCATTATATGTTACTGATGTATATCTTTATAAACCAACACCTGTATATGACACATTAAGTTCACTACTAAATGTCCAAATCTATCTTTCATCATGCAGTTCACTCCTTTTACCCTATTTACCCATCCCTTTCTCCTTCTTCTTATGGTAATGATTCCCAATTTTTAAATTCTGGAAAAAAGAACAACAAAAAACCAAAGGTTTTTTATAAGAACATTCTTATAAGAGCACTCAATGTAAATATTAAATCTATTTAAATTTTCTTTATATTTGATTTCTATCCTAACACTAAAATCATAATATTGTTCCCTAAATTTTTTTTCTGGAAGTTTCACATCCATATATGAATCTCAGCTATTGGTTGCCATGATGTAGATTACCTTTCCCTGCCCTGTATTAATTCCAGTTGTTCGTGCTCTAGGTGATTTTTATAGTGACTGTGGGTAAGCGTTAAGTTGAGGGAATATTAGAAGAATGTCTCTCTCTAAAAGCTAACATAGCTTTCAGCTAGAAAATTTCTTTAGGACCTGTTGACTGTATTAATGTTAATAGGAAGGCTCCAAGCTTCTGGTGCTAAGTGCCCAGGAACCTGACTTTACTGAAAGGCCTCCGCTTACTTTTCTGCTTTCCAACTTAACTAAAAGGCATCTTCTGTCTTGCCTTTCTCCTCAGTGTACTAAGCTTACCTTGAGAGCTGTTCAAACTTTAAATAGAAGCATGCGGACAAAGTTCACTAGCAACTACTTCTATTTAAAACTGTTTTAGTACTGAGTCATATGGGGCCAAGGGTATAACGCTGGGCCTCGTGAGGATCAGGCCGTTATGACCTGAGTGCCCTTTACTCTTGCCCCACTTGGCCCACACAGCTCACCTCCCCTGTCCCCTGAACACTTGCTTTTCTCTTCATTTTGGATTGGTTCACACTGAGAGGCTGTTGTGGCCAGGAGGTAGTTTTCAGCAGTAATGCATGTATATTACTATAACACATTTATATTTCTATATAAATATAATGGTCAGGAGTGTGTAGGTAGTGTAAATATAAAGGATAAAATCAATTAAGAAACACTAAACCTCTGTAATCTAGAATTTGAAAACATTACAGGAGATCTTGTATTCTGAGGATAGTTAAATCATTTCAGGAAAAGGCCACTAAAAATGAATTCCCCTAATGGAAATTGGAATTTCATAGTAAGTGGCGGTGGTGATGGGGGGAAAGAGTTTAGAGCTTAATTCTTTTTTTTTCAAAGATTTTTTTTTTTTATACAAGAACTGGGGTACAGGTCAGAGGCAGAGGGTGAGGGAATTCATCAGAGACAGATCGGGGAGCAGAACAGGCAGATGGACCGAGGACATTGCTGAGGGGAGCAGTGGGTGAGGCAGGAGAGGTCTGCCACACCATGTGGAAATCTCTTGGCTGGCCGGGAATCGAAGCGGTGCTGCAGAGGCTGCGGACAACTTCACAGCGCAGCGCTCAACCCCTTCTGCCACCGGGAAGGCCCCGAGAGCTTAATTAACATGAACTTTAATATTATAAGTTATGCACCAATGCATTCATTCTTCCTGTAAGCAAAAATGGTTTCAGGCATTTGTTTTGATCAGTATAATACTCCAATAAATAGTATAATAAAATAATAGATATACACATTTCATGTTTGATTGACTTTTACTGTGCCATCATAATAGAGGCCATTTCTTGCAAGATTCACGGGGCGGGTTGGTTGTTCTAAAGCGCCCTCAAATTATTCTCTTTTGAAGCATCTGTCCTGGACAGTTTTCTCTTTTCCAGTTCTTAACTGGTCTAACCTATATTTGTCAGAGGTTCATTTATGGCACAGGCAGGTCTCCAAAATTTCTTTCATTGACTTGAACTTCTGCTACATGTTTGTTTTCCACTTTGACTATATCTTGGAGCTACAGTGTGCCTGTCTGAAGAGTCAGGCAGTCGGTGAAAGAGACTGACAAGAGTAGAGATGAGTAGGCAGGGACCAGGGTGAAACGGTTTATGAGTGGTCAAGTCTTTGGAAATTATTATCATGTTTGATGACTTTTGCTTTGCTGTTAAGCCTTTTAACTGCAGGAATATAGATCATGAGGATCCTACCCCTTGATTTATGTTATTTCATTATTTCGTCAACTATATTAACATCAACTGAAATCAAATTATATAATGATACCCTTGAAGGCTCAGAACAAAGCACATTGCTAAAATATTTGATGATGTAGCCTTGTGCACACACCAGAAACTGGCTACCAAGAATTTTACATAGTGTTTGTCAATTAATGACTAGGTGAAAAATTAGTAAGCCACTTCTCAGTGGGCTTAATTTTTTTAAATGAAAATCTTTTTTTTTTTTTAAAGATTTATTTTATTTATGCATCCAAGAGCTGGGGTGCAGGCCAGAGGTGCAGGCAGGTGAGAGGATTTACCAGAGACAGAATGGGGAGCAGAACAGGCAGACTGACTGAAACACACTGCTAAGAGGAGCAGCGGACACAACAGGAGAGGTCTGCTGTGCCATGTGGGTTAGCTCTCTGGCCAGGGATTAAACTTGTGCTGCAGTGGCCGCTAGTAGCGTCATAGTGCTAAGACAACCCCTTGGTCCACCAGGCCCTCAGTGGGCTTAATTTTATTTTGAATAATACTTTGAGGAATGTCAAACTCAAGCCCTCTCCTGATTTACCTGAGAAGTAGTCTCAAAACATCATTTACATGTGGCACATCTTTTCATCCTTTGTACATGATCATTTTATTCACTGTATTTCCTGAAGGCTGCCCTTGGAGCTGGCTTTTCTGATAAGACTCCGGCTCACACTGTCACCATGGCTTGCATCTCTGCCAACCAAGCCATGACCACAGGTATGTTTACATGAAAGCAAAAGTTACAAGTTAGCTCTCCTTTGTCTTTATGTGATTATTAAAAAGTACTCTTTGTGTGTGTGTGTGTGTGTGTGTGTGTGTGTGTTTTATTTATTTATTTTTATATTCCCCATACAATTGCAACCCCAATTTTGACCCCAATCCCTCCTAAAAAGTACTCTTAACTGAAGTAAAAGTTTAGCCCAAATATCTGAATTTGCTTTTTTAAAAATAAAGCAATAAAAATTTTGATGTTTGACAGTTCTTGATCTTTTTTTTTTTTCCCCCTCAATTCCTGAGGTTCACAATCATTCATGTAGTTTTTCTGTCTGTAATGTGTCTGGCTACAGCAGATATGATCAGCTGCAGGTGTGTATCTCTGGGAGAAGAGGTAGTACTTCTGAATTTGAGCTATGTGTAGTTTATAACCTAGGTTTTAAACCTGTGTGATTCTGATACTCCCCTGTCCATGAAAATGGTAGCCTTCCTCCCTCTACCATCTCGGTGGTGATAAGTCACTGCTTTAGATGATACAACTCTTTCCTCTACTTCTCCCTGTATCCTTGGCATTTTTTATAATTAGTTACAAATATTCCTAACAAACTTGCACAAAATTGTGGGACATTTTGTAGCATTAGCCTTTATTGTGAAAAGATAAAAAGTCTGAAAGATAATAGAAATCGTATGCTCTCTTAGTAACATCAAGGCCAGATTGGTCAACCTATCTCAAGGGGAGTGGGGAATATAACAAGAGGCATTGATGGGAAGCATTCTCTATTCTGTGACCTGTGCAGCCTGTGACCCCTCCCAGTCAGGAACAAAATACTCACCAATGGTCATAAAGAGAGAGATGCCTTACATCTCTAAAGCCAGAGTTTCTTGAGCTTGCAGTAGAAGTTGACATACTTTTTATAGGAAAACTTTCTGAAAGCTATAAAGCTGGGAGCATTTAAAATAGGTAGAATATTCTGGTTTAGAACATGATTTGTTTAAGAGTCAATCCAGTGGATAGTTCCAGAGGTTGGTAGCCATATAACTTGAATGAAACCAGTTTTTTTCTCTAGTGTGTGGAATTTATTTTTAGTCATGTATAAAAATTATTTTAACCCCTCTGAAAAAAATATAAAAATCTTAATTACAGATGTTGTACAGTGCTGATACCATACAACTTTTTAATCAAGAAACCTAAATTACCAATGGTCTCTTATTTTCTGCAAAAGATGTTCATGTGCATGTAACCTGTGCCATGTAGGTTTTGGCTTGATTGCTGCTGGCCAGTGTGACGTGATCGTGGCAGGTGGTGTAGAATTAATGTCCGATGTCCCTATTCGTCATTCACGGAAAATGAGGAAAATGATGCTTGATCTCAATAAGGCCAAGACTCTCGGTCAGCGACTGTCTTTAATCTCTAAATTCAGATTGAATTTCCTATCTCCTGAGGTAAGATTTGTGAACTTTTATAAAGACTCTTCCTAAAGTATCGCTACTTAGAGATTTAGAATCTGGTAAGACTATGGATCCATTTGTGCTTTGGTAGTTCTGTTACAGGGATGGGGCAATTATTTGGTCAAATGAAAAATATAGTGATTAGAGAATTTAAATTTGTAAACCGCTTTAGGGATGCTGTGCTCACAAGGAATGTCCCTTGCTTGATCTTGATTGATAGATTTTAACTTTCTCGACTAACCCTAGGTGTGTATAAATAGCTATTAACACAGAAGTTAAGAAATTAGTCCAAATCTCTGCATTTATTTTTTTTAAAAAATAAAGTAACTAAGGACTCCCGACCTGGTGTGTCTCCTCTCCAGCTCCCCGCAGTAGCTGAGTTTTCCACCAATGAGACTATGGGTCACTCTGCAGACCGACTGGCTGCAGCCTTCTCTGTTTCTCGACTGGAGCAGGATGAGTACGCACTGCGCTCGCATAGCCTGGCCAAGAAGGCACAGGATGAAGGGCTCCTTTCCGATGTTGTTCCCTTCAAAGTACCAGGTAAAATGTTTTGTTCAACTTTGTAAAGGGGATTGCTTTATGATATTTGGTAGGCACTTTTGAATTGCTCCTAAAAATAAAAAAATCCAAAAATCCCAAGTAACTTTGGCATGTTTATTCTTGAACTTGGATTCAAGTTTCATTTTATGTTGTAGCAATAAAAGAGTAGTTGTCATTAGAAGAGTCTCCTCTTAGAGCTTCCTGATACATTTTATGTATATGCCTATTTTAAAAATTCTTCATTCATGTGATTTTTGTACTGAATAGCCAAATGTGAATAAATACTTTAAGAAAATAGGGCATTGTTTTTAAATTATATCATTTAGATTATTTCCCAAATGTCTCTAGTGTTTAGTTTAAATTTTAGTAACATCTTGATGATTGTTAAAGGCTTTTTTTTAGTGAATAGGTATGATTTACATTTCATTTGTTCTTGTAATTTGTCAAACCTATCTCTCTGGAAAAGATAGGTAAGCTTGTAGTTGCTTGGAGTTAAAAATTTCATGTTTTTATAGGAAAAGATACAGTTACGAAAGATAATGGTATTCGTCCATCCTCCCTGGAGCAGATGGCCAAACTAAAACCTGCATTCATCAAACCCTATGGCACAGTGACAGCTGCAAATTCTTCTTTTCTGGTAACTATGTATACTATGTGTGTTTACTCTGGTGACTTTCCTATCATGTATTCTCAATAGAAAAACCTTAGATAGTTCTATTTGTAATGTTCATTGTGTTATGAACAAAGCTTAAAATTTCATCATAACGATAATGTTAAAATAGAATCACAATTTGAAGATCTTTGAAGTGACCTAATCTAGCGACCATTCTGATACGGAAAGCTATTCTCTTCAGGGCCTTAACCAGTCAGAAAGTCTGATTGCTGGTGCTCAGCATGGAGATCAACAGAACAAGATAATGTGATGTTGTGAGAAGTGCTGTGATGGCTGTCAGCCTTAGCTCTTGGAGAAATACACAGGCAGGGTCTCTGACAGGCTTCTCAGAGGAAGTGATACTTGAGCAGGCAGTCTTTTTTTTTTTAAAAAAGATTTATTTTTATTTATACAAAAGCTGGGGTACAGGCCAGAGTTGTGGGAGGATGAAAGGATTCACCAGAGACAGAGCGGGGAGCAGAACGGGCAGACGGACCGAAGGCACTGCTGAGGGGAGCAGTGGGCGCCACAGGGGAGGTCTGCCTCACCATGTGGGATTCTCCCTGGCTGGCCGGGAAATGAACCAGCGCTGCGGAGGCTGAGGACAGCTTCACAGCGTTGGCGCTCAACCCGCTGCGCCACCAGGGAGGCACTTGAGAAGGCAGTCTTGAAGGAAAAGTGCAAGTCCATTCAAGATGTATAAAAAATGCTCTCTGGGCAAGGGGAACAGCAAGTGCAAAATCAAGCAAGTATGAGAAAAAGGCTTCCTGGGGAAAGCTTGATTGGAACATAGAATGTGAATGTGGCGCGTCATAGAAGATGTGGGAAGTAGGCAGTCTAGCTCTGATTGTTAGTGATGCTTTATACCGACCCCCAGATTATTTTCCTATAGTCATGGAATTAATCTACCCCCATTTTTGTTGTTGTTTATCGGCATGTACCATCTTAGCCCTCCTTGGTGGTGTGTTTTTTTTTTTTTCTTGGCTCCTCCTCAACTAAACATCCCATTCTGCTTCTGCCTATATGATGTGGTTTGTTATGGGCTACCAACTTGGCTTTCTGGCTATAGTCCACCTGGTCAGTGTTTCTTTGACAATATAATACCCCTTCCTGGACATGAAGTCTAGAAACAGGCAAATATTTGAAATATTTGACCATGGTGAGTGACTAATTAATCCCTGCTTTTGGGTGAGGGGAAGGATACCTGGAGTAATTCTGATAGGCTGGTGCACCACCCCATTAAGCCCAGGTGGTGAAGGACTGGCTAGATGATCATTTCCAAAACAAGATTGGATCAGAGGACCATGTGGCACTAGCTACATTCTTGCCAGATCTGCACTCCCTTTGATACTCTTCACAAATCAAAAACGCAAGTCTTCAAAGGCAACATATTACAGATATGTGGGTTTTTGGAAATGTGTTGAGTTTTGGAAATTGTTCATGTCACATTCAAAGGGATTTTGCACAATGACGCATTGAGCTTATTACTAATGTAATCTCCATAAACTACTAATAATGTGCAGTCACCTTTGTTTCCAGATTTTATGGCCACCCTATTGGTGATGACTATGTATTCTCTTCAGTTACTGAGTCCTATATATGGTAGGATGTGGTAGAAGTTATTTTGATTCTGCGTACTCTACAGAATTGTTTCCTTTACTTTGGAATTCTTTTTTTTTAAGTTTCTTTTGAAGTAATGGTAAATGGTTTATTTTTCAATGGTACCGTTTTGTTCCCCAAATTCTCAATTGTCATTGAAAGAGGGAAGGCTGTGGTTCTGATGTTGTCAGCTGCCTGCCTTTTTCTTCTTCCATTGGCTTACTTATTATAAAGTCTCTATAAGTAGAAGAAAATTGCCTAGAAGTCACTAGTAGGAAGCAACTGAGAAACAATCAAGAATATGTAAAAATAAATAAGTAAATCATTGTTATAAATCATAAAATTCCTCATACTGCATTAAAAGCAAAAAAATTTTGGTTTAAGTCTATTTTGACTACCTATTTCTAGAGCTACCTATTTTTTTAATCCATTTTGATAATTATGGTCCTTTTTGAATAGGCTCTTCTTAACCTTGCCCTCCAGAAATAGGTAACTGTGTATGTTTGACTTGAGATTTTTTTTTTAAAAAAAGATTTATCCATTTATGCACACAAGAACTGGGGTACAGGCCAGTGGTGTGTGTGGGGGTGGTGGTGAGAGGATTCACTGGAGACAGAGAGGGGAACAGAACAGGCAGATCGACTGAAATACACTGCTAAGGGGAGTAGCGGGAGAGTCAGGAGAGGTCTGCTGCACCATGTAGGTAGCTCCCCTGCCAGGTGTTGAACTCGTGCTGCAGTGGCTGTGGATTGCTTCATAGGCTGCATCTTAACCCCAAGGAGGCCCTGACTTGAGACTTAATGATGGATAAAAGGAAAAGGTTTTGTTATATAGAATCACTGTATGAATGTAATTACTTTGTAGAGTAAGGAATAGAACACAGAGGATGTAGAAAGATCTGAGGATAGGCTGAGGAATTTAACATTGTTTGGGTTAACATTTCAGACCGATGGTGCATCTGCAATGCTGATTATGGCAGAAGAAAAAGCTCTGGCCTTGGGTTATAAACCAAAGGCATATTTGAGGTAAAGTGAATGTTCAAATAAGTAGCCTCTGGTTTCTTTATTACTGGAGCTAACGTCTCTGTTTTTTACTTAGGGATTTTGTGTATGTGTCCCAGGATCCAAAAGATCAACTTTTACTCGGGTAGGTGGCAGTGTATATCCGTGGACTATATTATCATGTTAGCTACATAGATTTTAAAGTTAGCTACATAGATTTTAAAGTCTATTAAGCCCTGAAATCATAATTGGTTGTCTGTTGGGTTTTTTTAAATGATAGTAATCTTTTATTTTGGTTTATTATTTTATAGCTTTAGATTCTTTTCCATTTTTCTGTACATATCTACTTGTAATTATTATATACACACACAGAACTTTGTATTTTTTTTAAGATTTATTTTATTCATTTATGCTTCCAAGAGCTGGGGTGTAGGCCAGAAGTGTAGGGGGTGAGAGGATTCATCAGAGACAGAATGGGGAACAGAACAGGTGGATTGACTGAAATACACTGCTGAGGGGCATAGCGGGGGAGACAGGAAAGGTCTGCTGTGCCATGTGGGTCATCTCCCTGACCAGGGATTAAACTCGTGCTGCAGTGGCTGCAGATAGCATCATAGTGCTGAGGCTTAAACCCTTGCACCACCAGGGAGGTCCTCTTTATTAAGATATCATAAACATGTTTTTCATATTGCTGTCATCTATTCATAATAGCCTTTTATTAAAAGCCTCCTAATATATTATTTCCTCTTCCCTGCACACCTCACAAGAGTCTACCTTCGTTGGCCTCCATTTTGTCCTTCAAAGTAGCCATGTCCTTTCCTATGTTTTGCACTTTAACTCTGTGTTCTTCTAGCGCTTTACATTATTAGTTAGTCCTTCTCTTTTATTGTTTACTTATTTATTATCTGTTTATAACTAGAGAATATAAACTGCATAAGGGCAGAGGTCATGGCTGTTCAGTTCACTGTTGTATCTCCAGTATTTTACAGTAGAATGAGTGAATGAATGGAGGACTCTGTAATTTCTGTGGAAAACTCAGTTTGGGGGATGTGATAGAGCTCTTAGGTTAAAAATTAAAGTTGTAATGTAATACTTATTTTTTCTTCTCAGACCAACATATGCTACTCCAAAAGTTCTAGAAAAGGCGGGATTAACAATGAATGATATTGATGCTTTTGAATTTCATGAAGCTTTCTCAGTAAGTTTATTTTAAAGGTATATGTGAAAAGACTGTAATAAAAAAAACATAGTCTGAGTATGTAGGAGAGAGCAAGGTGTGGTTTATGCTATGAGTAAAACAGGTGTGGAACTTGACATTTGAAGTACTAACCTTCAGTGCTGGTGGGGTGCAAGGTGTAAAGGGAGGGAATCAAGGGTCACACTTAATGTTGAAAAGCATATCTTTTGAGGCTATCTCTTAATTCCCTTCAAAAGTTCCACATTGTTTCTTTAGGAAATTTTCACCAAAAATTTAAAAAGATTTCCTCAAATTTAAAGTTAGACAAACTCATGCCTAAAGAAAGTCCTTAAGGACAGTAATAGCAAGGTCTTTATTGAATTATTTTCCCTTTTAGGGTCAGATTTTGGCTAATTTTAAAGCCATGGATTCTGATTGGTTTGCACAAAACTGCATGGGTAGAAAAACCAAGGTAAGTTTAAATTTCTGCTTAAAAATATGCTTGAATTTCTAAGTACTTTATTTATTTTTTAAAGATTTATTTATTTATTTATACAAGCACTGGGTACAGTCAGAAGCACGGGAGGGAGAGAGAATTCACCAGAGCCAGAGTGGGGAACAGAACAGGCAGACTGATGAAATATACCTGAGGGGAGCAGAGGGCGCGGCAGGAAAGGTCTGCGCGCCATGTGGGCCCCTTGCTGGCAGCCGAGGATCAAACTGGTGCTGCAGAGGCTGCGGGCAGTTTCGCAATCCAGCGCTCAACCGCTGTGCCAAAAGAGGAGGCCCTGAATTTCTAAGTATTTTAATATTTAAAGCCTAATTACCTATAATAAAATTAATGGGGAAATCAACTTCTTACTAAGAATTTTGTGTTTATTAAATGTATTTCTGAGTTGAAATATTTCAACTCTGGAAATTCTTTAGAAAGAATAAAAGCAAAAATTTAGATTGTCTATTAGTCTTTTCATTCTAATGTTAGATGAAAATAAATGCTTTCATTATTGACCTAGAACTTTTTTGTATATTTTTATATATTTATAGTGAAATAATTTGTGATTCATCTTAAGTTATTTTCCTCCATTGTTATAACTTCCTACTATTCAAATCCTGGCCTGATTCTTACCTTAAGTAAACTCATCTTTACATTTATTTATTTATTTTTTTTTTTGTGGCTGTCAGGTTGGATTGCCTCCGTTGGACAAGTTTAATAACTGGGGTGGATCTCTGTCCTTGGGACACCCATTTGGGGCCACTGGTTGCCGGCTGGTTATGGCAGCTGCTAACAGATTGCGGAGGGATGGAGGCCAGTATGGGTTAGTGGCTGCCTGTGCAGCTGGAGGACAGGTATGTCATAGTAGCTTCTGGAAAGTCATTTTCTCAAAAACAAAAATAAGTTCATTCAAGAATGTTTAATTTAGTTTAGTTTGAAAAATTCTTTTTTAAGATTTATTTATCCATACAAGAGTTGGGTTGCAGGCCAGAGATGTAGGAGTGAGAGGTTTCACCAGAGACAGAGTGGGAAGCAGAACAGATGGATCTACTGAAAGACACTGCTGAAAGGAGCTGCGGGCAAGACAGGAGAGTTCTGCTGCACCATGTGGGTCACCTCCCTGGCCTGGGATCTAACATGTCCTGTAGTGGCTGCGGATAGTTTTATAGTGCTGAGACTTAACCCCTTGTACCACAAGGGAGACCCCTTAGTTTGAAAAATTCTTAAAGCAGTATTTCTGATGATTGATAACCAGAAAAACTTTTTAGCGGGAGAGAGGTATTTTAATTTTGATAATACTTTAGAAAGAAGATGCTCTTTAAATCCAAGATATTTTCTTGTCCTAAAGAAGTGTGTACCCTTTTTTTGTTGTAGTTTTTAAAGTAATATATGCTCATTATGGAAAGTACAATGTATATGAAAAAAATTAGAATCACATATGTATAATTCCCTAACCAGATACCACTGTTATTAACATTTGATATATATATATTTTTTTTTTAATGTTATTTTTTCTTTTTTTTTTTTAAGATTTATTTATTTATCTATACAAGCACTGGGCACAGTCAGAAGCGCGGGAGGGTGAGAGAATTCACCAGAGCCAGAGCAGGGAGCTGAGCAGGCAGAAGGACCGAAGTACACTGCTGAGGGGAGCAGCGGGCGGCAGGAGAGGTCTGCTCGCCATGTGGGACCCTCCTCCGGTGGCCGGGGAGCAGCCGGGGATCGAACCAGTGCCGCAGAGGCTGCGGGCAGCTTCGCAACCCAGCGCTCAACCGCTGCACCACCGGGGAGGCCCACATTTGATATATTTTTTTAAGGATTTATTTTACTTATGCATCCAGGAACTGTGGTATAGGCTAGAGGTTGGGGAGGGGTGAGAGGATTCACCAGAGACAGAGTGGGGAGCAGAACAGGCAGACTGACTGGAATACACTGCTGAGAGGAGCAGCAGGCGAGACAGGAGAGGTCTGCTGCGCCATGTGGGTAACTCCCTGGCCGGGGATCGAACTCGTGCTGCGGTGGCTGCTGATCGATTCATAGGTTGTGTCTTAATCCCTTGTGCACCAGGGAGGCCCGTGTTTTAGAATATTTAGCAATATCTCTACCCACTAGATACCAACAACAGCATACCCCCTCTCCCCCATATGCATTTGGAACAACTAAAAACATTTCCACATATTGCTGAATATCTCCAGGATGGTGGGGCAAAATCATCCCCAGTTGAGAACCACTGATCTAGAGCAATATAAAAGATTTTGGAACAGGAAAATAACGTTTTAAATAAAAGTGGGGAAGGAATATTTTGCCTAACTCTGGACACTTCTATGACAATACCAAGTCAGTCAAAGCACTTGATCCCTGTTCCTTTTTGTTTGCTTCTGTCTTTCTCAAGGTATTTGTTGTAACTTTTTTAAAAAAAGATTTTATTTTTATTTATTTATGCATACAAGAGTTGGGATGTAGATCACAGGTGCAGGGGTTGAGGAGTCACCAAAGACAGAGTGGGGAGCAGAACAGGCGGATTGACTGAAATATACTGCTGAGGGGAGCAGCAGGCAAGACAGGAGAGGTCTGCTGCGCCATGTGGGTCAGCTTCCCTGGCCAGGAATCAAACTGGTGCTGTAGTGGCTGAGGATAGCTTCATAGTGCCTTGTCTTAACCCCTTGTGCTACCAGGGAGGCCCCTATTGTAACTTTTTTGAACTCAGGTATATACTAGATTGAGGATGGACATCATGTAGCAACTTTTTATACCCATACAGTATTCAGCTTAGAGCCTTATAAATAATAGTTGCTTAATATGTGTGAGGTTTGAATTGAACCTAGAAGTAAAGGGATTAGTTAGGCTCTTAAACTGCTTGATGGTTGTCCAAAGGATAGAATGATCATGATGATCAGGTAGGATTTAGACTAATTAATTAATAAATTTCAATGTGAGATTTATTTTTTTAAAGATTTATTTATGCATACAAGAGCTGGGGTACAGGCCAGAGGTGCAGGGGGTGAGAAGATTCACCAGAGACAGAGTGGGGAGCAGAACAGGCGAATTAACTGAAATACACTGTTGAGGGATCAGCAGGTGAGACAGGAGAGGTCTGCTGCACTGTGTGGGTCACCTCCCTGGCTGGGAATTGAACTCGGGCTTCAGTAGCTGTGGATAGCTGCACAGTGCTGATGCTTAACCCCTTGCGCCACCCAGGAGGTCCTCTAAGTGAGATTTAAACTGGGAAAATAAGTACATAGCACTGTGCATAGTGCTAGAGAAGAGATTTTGTCCCTTCTTACGTTTTGGGCCCTCAGATCTTCTTAACTTGAATAGAATAGCGTGGAAGAGTCCAGGCTTTGGAATCAACTAGACATGTTTTTAATTCTCACTCTGTTACTTTATAGCTCTGAAGATTTGGATGAATTACTCAACCTTTTTTCAAAGTTCCATTTTCTCATCTAGAAATTTATTTTTGTTGGCATTCACTGTATTATGGTTATTTATGTATATAGATATGTGTTTGTGTGTATATGTATTGCATACATCTTAATACTTACAAATATACTATGAAGTAGGCACCACATGTCCCATTGTATAGAGGAAGTGAAGTTCAGAATGGCTACTATAACTTCATGCTCACTCAGCAATTGAATGTGAGAGCCAGAGTTCAAACCTCAAAATCCGTACTATTTACTTTGTTCTCTTGACTCTGTATGACTAGTTTCAATTGCTTTTCATTTCATTGTTCTAATTGAGCTTTTTTTCCTTTACAGGGACATGCTATGATAGTGGAAGCTTATCCAAAATAAGAGCAAGACGGAGGTGACCTGGAATTTGTGTGCAACACTCACAGTAGGCAATGCCATTTCAATGCATTACTGAATGACATCTATAGTTCCCAGCTCCTCTTAGGAAAACAAACTTTGTGGCCTCTGTAAAATACTTTGCAATTAAACCTTGCCAGTATGTGAGCTTTCCAGTAATCACGGCTTACTGCTTCTTCAGGGATTTCTTAGTCACCAGAGTCTCATCAGTAACACATTTAAGCAATTCTTTTTTTTGTCTCTTCCTTAAGGACTAAATGAATGGTTACAATTTAGAAAAAGAGATTAGCTGAGATTTGGAATCATTTTTGTAATGTTTGCACATTTATACCCATTCTTATTTGTGACCTAAAGATAAAGTGTCTTCTATAAAATGCAAACCAATGTGCCTAATTAACTTAGTTATGGAAAGATAATTCAAAGTCTAAACGTCACTGAGAATTTACAGTAAATGTTTAGATACATAAACACCATAATGGTTAACCCCAATAAAGTAGAGATGAGAGAACTGTTGGCTTTATTATTTTATTTATTTATTTATTTATTTATTTATTTATTTAAGATTTATTTATTTATTTATTTATTTAAGCACTGGGTACAGTCAGAAGCGCGGGAGGGTGAGAGAATTCACCAGAGCCAGAGGGGAGAGCAGAGCAGGCAGATTGACGAAGTACTCTGCCGAGGGGAGCAGCGGCGGCAGGAGAGGTCTGCGCGCCATGTGGGACCCTCGCTGGTGGCCAGGGATCGAACGGGCGCTGCAGAGGCTGTGGGCAGCTTTGCAACCCGGTGCTCAACTGCTGCTCCACCAGGGAGGCCCTGGCTTTATTATTTTATTATCGGGAAAGACTGGTTCTTTCAGCTGGGGGGCAGATTTTGCCTTTGATAACTTAATTGTAATTTCTAACTATTTTAGCCAACTGTGAGCCTGCTAAGAACATAATTCAATAGAAACCAAAATGTAAAATGCTCATTAATCAAGAAAAAACAAATTAAAATCACAATGAGATTTTATATCTGTCAGACTTGCAAAATGAACAAGACTGAGAATCCCAAGTGTTGGTGAGGGGAGGAACTTTTGTACAGTGCTGGTGAGAATGCCAATAGGTGCAACCACTTTGGAAAACCATCTGGCATCATCTTTATATTTGAATATGACTCAATGTCCACAGCCCGGCCTGCTCTTTGCTATATTTCCTGAAATATGCACCCGATTACCAGAAAACATGTGTAGGTATGTTCATGGTAACATTACTCTCAAACTGCAAAATACTGTAAATAATGATTACTCATCTACAGGAAAGCTTCAAAATCAGGGAAAACTAAGTACATTTCTAGGATATCTGCATATCAGGTAAAAATAATTCCTAAAATTTAGAATCAAGGGAATACTCTTACAGCAGAATTCCAAACACTCCATGTAGATATTCCATGCTCTAGGAGGCTCTAGGAGCCTCCCTCTCCTGCCTTGAGTGGGGGCTAAACTTAGTGACCCAACTCCAGGAAATAGAGTAAGACAAGGAAAAATAAGGAAACGATATAATGGAGAGAAACAGCAAACACTAGCTTGAGCAAATGACTGAATTTAACATCGTTAGTGCTGTCACGTGGATATCATACCTCCTTGTGTGCTGTCGTCAAAGGAGTGCTTCACCTGTAACCCAGTCCAGTCGTGAAAAAACATCAGATAAGTCCAAATTGAAAGATACTCTATAAAATACTTGACTAATGCTCAAGTTACTAAGGTTAGGAAAAATTAGAGGATACTGAGAAATGGTCACAAACCACAGGAGGCTAAGGAGACATGACAACCTAATGTACTGTGCTGTCCTGGAATAGATTCTGAAACAGAAAAAGGGCTGTTGAAAAACTGGCAAAATCTGAATAAAGCATAGAATTTAGTTAGTAGCTTTAAAAAGCCCAGAAATAAACTCTCACGTATGTGGTCAAATGATTTTCTGCAAGGATGCCAAGACCACTAAATGTGGAAAGGACAAATGATGTCGGGAGAGTTGCATACTCACATGCACAAGAATGAAGTTGGACCCTTGCCTTACATCAAATTCAAAAAACTAACTCAAAATGAATAAAAAACTTAAACATAAGAGCTAAAATTACAACACTCTTAGAAGTAAGTGGGGAAAGCTGCATGATACTGGATTTGGCTACAGCTCAAAAACTGAAAGAAAAAAAAAATCCCAATTTTAAAATGAGCAAAAAATTCATTAAAAATAATTTTTTAAAGAAAAAACAAAAACCAAATTCCTACCATCATCCATTGTTTACTGAATACCCCCTCCTTTTTAAGATTGATTTTTTTATGTACACAAGAACTGGGGTACAGACTGGAGGTGTGAGTGGGTGAGAGGATTCACCAGAGACATAGTAGACAGCAGAACAGGTGAATCTACTGAAATAAACTGCTGAGGGGAGCAGCGAGCGAGACAGGAGAGGTCTGCTGCACCATGTGGGTCACCTCCCTGGCCAGGGGTCAAACTGTGCTGCAATGATTGCTGATAGCTTTGTAGTGCTAAGGCTTAACCCCTTGCACCACCGGGAAGGCCCCTTCCTGGATACCCTTGCTCCCACCTCCACCCTCGTCAGCTTTGGTAACCTCATTTCGGTTTTCAGTGTCCGCTAGTTTAATTTTTTTTCTCCATTTACCTGTTTAGTTCCCTTATATTGCACGTACAGGTGAAATCATCCACTGTTTGTCATTATCCTTCTAATTTTCATAATCCCCTTGAATTCCTTTTGTTTTCCTACAAATGGCAAGGTTTTATATTTACTTATAACTGAATAATACTGCATGGTGTGTATATACACCACGTCTTTATTCAGTCATTTTATCAGTGGGCACTTCGGTTGCTTCCATATCTTAGCTGTTATGAATAATGGTGAGAAAAATATCATCATGCATATAAGTCTTTGAGCTGATGATTTCATATTCTTTGGATAGATATCCAGAAGTGGGATGCTTCTGAATCATATGGCAGTTTTAGTTTTAGTTTTTTGAGAAAGGTCCATACTGCTTTCCAAAATGGCTGGCACCAGTATACATTCCCACTAACAGTATATGAGTGTTCATCTTTTTCACATTCTGGCTAACACTGTCTTTTTGATGTAAGTTATTCTCACAGGTGTGAAATGATGCATCATTGTGGTTTTGATTTGCATTTCCTTATAAAGTGATGATGAACATTTTCTCATAAGTCTTTTCACCATCTGAATGTCCTCTGGAAAAGTGTCTATTTGTATCTTCTGCCTATTTTTTAATTGGGTTGTTTTATTGTTAAATTGGATGAGTTCTATAAAGAACTCATATATACCTTGGATATTAATCCCTTATTGGGTATGTGGTGTGCAGATCTCTTCTCCCATTCAGTGGTTACCTTTTTAGTCTGCTAATTCTTTTGCTGTGCAAAATATTTTTGATTTGATGTAGTTCCAATTGTTTATTTTTGCTTTCATTTCCCTTGCCATCTTTAGGGTGCAGTCACCTGTGTTTTTCTTTTGTGTATTTTATGGATTCAGGTCTTTAATCCATTTTGAATTTATTTTTGTGAATGGAGTTAGAGAATGATTGAGCTCCGTTCTTTTATCTGTAGCTGTCAAGTTTTCCCCAACATCATTTGTTAAAGAAATGGGCAAAGAATTTAAACATGAAAATTTAAACATGAAAAACTGTTCCACATTATTGTTAGGGAAATGCAAATCAAAACTGCAGTATGATATTACTTCCTACCCATTGAGATGGCTACTATCATTACCCATGATTACTGAAAAGTTTCTTTAGCTAATGAAATAGTCTGGTAATTTCCTGGTTTTGTACTTTCGGTTCAACAGAAATATTTCAAAGTGCTGCATGACCACTTGATTCAGAGTCTAGGTTTATCTAGAATTAATTCCTTTGCCAAATTCAGGAGTTTCACGCTTGCTATTGGCAAAAGGTAAAGCAAATGGGTCCGTAAAAAATGTTGTGACATCGGAGCATTTTCTTGTAGAAGTTCAATCTTATGACAGAGTCAGCAGGAATTGGATTCCAAGGAGGTTTACAGTATCTCCTGCTATACCAGCCATTTCTGGGTGAAAATGCTGGTTTGTTTTTTTTAAAGATTTATTTATTTATGCATGTAAGAGCTAGGGTACAGGCCAGAGGTGGGGGGAGGGGTGAGAGGATTCACCAGAGACAGAGTGGGGAACAGAACAAGCAGACTGACTGAAATACACTGTTGAGGGGAGCAGCGGGTGAGTCAGGAGAGGTCTGCTGTGCTATGTGGGCAGCTCCCTGGCCAGGGATTGAACTCGCGCTGCAGTGGCTGCTGATAGCTTCATAGGTTGCGTCTTAACCCCTTGCGCCACCAGGGAGGCCTTGGTACCTCTTTTTTTGAGGCTGTAAACATACTGGAATGAACGTCCTTTGAACATCTAACTGTTCACTTATTTCTTTAAGCCTTCTTTTTATAAATGGAGTTTCTACTAAATCTTATTTTCTTATATTTACCTCCAGAGCCTTCTTTTTCAGTCCTTTTTTTTTTTTAAATGGTAAGAGACAAGTGAACAAAATCTTAATGTCATTTCATTTACCAAATCTGAAGTGTGTTTTTACCAGCAGAGCATACATTGAGTATGTGCAATCATTTAAGAAAATGAGCACATATGTTTTTATAAAAGCAGATTCAGAAAAAGAATCTCTGCTGCTTCTAAAGTGAAAGAGTATTATTTGAATTTGTAATCAGAAAAGTCTTTCATGTAGCCATGCGTCACTTCACAATGTCTCAATCAGTGATGGACTGCACATATGTTGGAGGTCCCCAATAGGCTGTCTCTTCTGGTCTAGGCGTGTAGTCTGGACCATCTAGGTTTGGGTAATTATACGCTGTGACACTGGCACAGTGACAAAATTGCTCACTGATGTGCTTCTCAGAACTTACCTCTTGTTAAGTGATGCATAACTGTAATTTTAAAAATTAAGACTGTAAATATTAATAAAGTGAAATAGAGACATCACTATGTTGCTGGGGGAGCCAGCAAGGCAAAGCTTTCACTATTTCAGCATTACCTGCCTCCCATGGGACAAATACAAGCCATAGAATGATGCAACTGTCCTGATGAGTTCATGTCTTCTATTTGAAAGAATGAATCCATGCAGAGAAATACTCAAGCAGTCTTATAGGCAATTAAGATATTTACATAGATCATTAGCAAAAGAATAGTGTTTGTAAGAAAAATGTTTTTATAGCATGTGATAGCATATCCAATTTTATTTGAACCAAAAACTTTCCCTTCCATTTTATAAACATACCCATGAATTTTGTAATTAAGACTTTTTTTGGAGTGTTTTTATTTATCTAGTTTAATTTTTTTTTTCAGAATCCTGTCATGCTATTGTAGGCTCCGTGAGTTAATTCTGCTAGTTGTCTTGATGTCCTCTAAAAGCTTTTCTTTAATCTTCCTGCTCTCTATCGAGATTAAGCCAGATCCTGTCACTTTTAAAGGTCAGTATTTGCCATATTTTCTCCTTAATTCTTGCTGAGTCTGTGGTACCTTTCTATATGAAAATTTATAGTACATTCTTACAAATGTGCTCATGTCACATTTGCGTTTGTCTACGAAGCATACATTTTATATTGATATTGTTAAAGGATAAGGAAGGACATAGTGTCACCTGTTCCTGAACTTTGAAAAGAAACAAACCACATTCTGCCCTTCATCTCTTGTATTCAGAAGATCAGCATTGCTGTCAGTTAGGTCATCCTTTCTTCATGGCTATAGGGAAGGAATAATCAGAAGTCACTGGATAGTTAAAATCATTTTTAGCAAATATATCTGTAACACAAACTGTTGATTAGTCAAAACTGGTTCAGTCAGTTTTACTTGCAGTTATTTTGAACTTTGATTTTTTTTGGTACAGAAAAAGCAGACTTACTCATTAGGTAGCTTTGGCTAGTTTTCCACACTATTCTTGCTTGGATAATTTAGGGGAGCAGAAAGAGAAATGTGGATGACTAAAGGAGGCATAAACCTGTTTTTCCTGAGTGCTGAACTCTGGGAGCAGGGAAGGTTTAGAGCTCTGGCATGGGGCCAGGCCCCAACCTGGTGGATTCAAGGACACACCCTCAACTCCCTTAAGGGAACATGGGCGAGTCTGGGGCTCATTCAAAGCTTCTGCCTTCCTGTGAAAGAGCTCATCACTCTCCCCACCCCCCATCACTCTGCAGGCTATCCTCCCCTCTGAACACCAAGCCACCAATGGCAATTCCTGCAAAGCCAGGGCTTTTCAGAATAATTAAAAAAATTGCAGCGCAAAAAGGAATTTTTAGAATGAACTGGGTCAAGGGTTGTTGTTGGTAAAAGTTCCTCCAGCTTTCTGGCAATGCAGTAGGAGATGCTAGCCATCTACCCTCTGAGGCCTCACCTTCTCGAGCCCATAGAAATGGCGACTCTGGGAAAGTCTGTTTTCCACCCCTTGGGCTGGAAAGGCATATGAGGAGGAACCCTCTGTCAAGAGCTCTGCCAGGAAGCCCTTTGCTACAATTCCTCTCACTCCACGCTGTTCACTTCATGCCCAAGAAAGTGCCATTCTCACCTGGCATCTTCATTTCTTCCTTCGCTGTGTTCTGGAATGTAGGTTTCATTAGTAGCCTAGAAGAGGTGGGCAAGCCCAGGAGCAGGTGATTATTATTAGTCAACCCTCCTATGATGTGGTGGTTTCCATTTTTGTATTCTCGCCTGCCCTCCTGCTGGGCGGCAGTTATCCTAGGAACTTTGCTCTCAGTGACAGTGACTCCCACCTGTAGCCATCCTACCTCTTCCCTTCAAATAGTAACTGGAGGCAGATTTCTAGGTGGGGTAACCACAGTCAAGAGGGTCACCAGGAATCCCATTGTAATGAGGAACCCAGAGAGACCTGCTCTGACTGGGCTGCTTTTTCCATGGCTGGCAAGCTTGAACCAGAAACATGCTCTTTCTAAAGTACACTCCAAGCCTCTTCTCAGCTTGCAGCTGTGCCCAGCTCCTCCAGAGAAGGCCATAGGATATTTACTTCTGACCTGCTCTTGAGAACAGGTTTGAAGCCAGCAACTCACCCGCGAGATGGTGGAGTTGGGGGGCTCGGTGCAACAGAAGCGTTTGAGTAAAGCCTCTTGTACCTGCAGGAGAAGTAAATGCCCCAGGTATGCCATCACAGTGCCAGCCTTTGCACTGCGAGTCAGACAGGGGTTCTTTGGGCAGACTCACCTTCTTATCCATGAGGCAACCAAAAAGTAAGATGAAGACACCCTGCAAAGAATGATGTGGAGAGACCTTGTCAAGGAAGAAGAAATCCACCAAAAGCAACTCGCTCCCTCCTCTTCCCCTGCTGTCCTCTTGTCAGATTCACGTCCTGAGGCTTTCCATCTCGGCTTTTCTTACTTAAGCACCATTTGGTGCAAAGGATCCTTTTTTAGGTGCCTTTTTTTTTTTTTTTTTAAATATGCGTTATGGTTAAAAGGGAACACAAAAGGATTAGCTACTGACAACTGCCTGACTTCTCTGGCAAATCCAGGTATTTTACAGATAAGAAAAACAAGACTCAGGTCTGTTCAAAATTGTACAACTAATTAGTGGAGAAACTGGGATCCATACCTAAGCCTTCTCAAATTCCCGAACCTGAGTTCCTTCTGCTCCACCAGGATGCCTCCTTGAAAAGGGGCTGACAGTGACTTAAGCCATTTAAAGGGGAGAAAGCGTGATCACCACCTGATCACCCACCCACCTGGAAAGTGTTGAGAACGGTGAAGATGTACTGAGGGACTAGAGAGGCTTCTTCCAGCAGAGTGGCCAGGCCCAGTCCCCAGGTGAGGCCGAAGATGGGTGTGAGAATGAGCAGGGCTTTGACCACTCCCACAAGGGCTTGGCGTGTCTCCACCTGGGGCCCCTCCGACAGCGAAGGTCTCAGCAACTTCAGCACAGCCATGGTGAGTACCAGCCCGTTCACGCCCACAATGGCCAGCACTGGCCCCGCGAAGGTGTAGAGTGCCCCACCCTTCCCATTCAACCAGCAGGCCCCCTCCCTCAGGTACTGCCCTTGGGGCAGGTAGAGGCCCAGGGTGACACCTGCAAACCCCACTGGGCACAGGTAGCCAAGGACCACCATCAGGGAGAGTGCCCGGTGCTTGGACAGTTGATGGAAGACAAACAGCAGCTGGTGGGCCAACATCAGGGCCTGGGCCAACATCCAGAAAAAAGTAGCCAGATAGAGAAAGTGAGTGAGGAAGGCAACAGCCAGGCAGAGTGGGCTTTGGGGCATGGGAGGAAGCAGTGAGGCTCCTAGGAAGCAGGTGTCTGCAGCCAGCAGGGAAAGCGCCACGTGGAGCAGGGCTGTGTGACGTAAATAGGCAACCTTGTTCCGTACCACGACTCTCCACACCAGCCTGTACACGGCCAGGCACACAAGCAGTGCCAAAATGGAGGCCCCCAAGCCCACCTCACTCAGTAGCTTCAGGGTACGGTTTTCTGGAACAGTGTGTCGGGACATAAGGATGGAGAAGGCAGTGAGGTGCCTGCAGATGCACTGGGTAGTGGGGCTGACACCAGCTTCCTGCCCCTGGCACCCTTCATCAGACCAGCCCCCCTCACCCTGGAAGAGAGTGTGATCCCAGAAGACACAGTGGGCGATGCCATCTCTGCCCCCAAAGTCCATGATAACCTCTCCCTGGTGAAAGGTCTGGCCACCTGCTGTGATGGAAATGGAGAGGACCAGGCCAGGTGTGGCATAGAGAGAGCCCCCCAGCCCTTGTCCATAGTTGGAGGGCAGCAGGTGGTCCAGTTTTCGTAGCACCAAGCTAGTAATGCTGACATTGGTTCCATTATGGCCCAGTGGGGCCAGGGAGTGCCTGGGGATCCGAACCTGCAGTGGGGGCTGAGTGGAGAAGGTGATTCTGTAGTCACCAGGAAATGTGGGTCCGAGGAGCTGAGTCTCTAGCTGCACGTTTGGCAAACTGAGGGAGAAGGGGTGATCCTGTGGGTCCAGGCTGCGTGCCAGGGTCTCTGTGGCAAGCAGGAGATTTGAGCTTGCCGAAGGCTTCTGGGCCTGGGCTGGGGTCCACAGAGAGCTGGTGTCCATGTCCAGGACCTGGTCTGTGGTTGTCAGGAAAACCTGTATACCCAACAGAGATGAACCCTGCCTCCAGGAGCCCGCAGCACTAAGCCAAGGGCACTGGGAACTTTAGACCCCAAATCCACCCTGGTCCAGTGCAAGACTTAAGGTTGGGGAGAAAACAGGTGTGTGAAGAGACTTTCAAGATGGGAAGAACCAGAGCTGTTCACCCCCTACTAGGGCATCTTCAAGTATGTGATCTCATTCAGCCTCTCACCTGACAACCTTCCCTCCCCTCCATTCCTTGGGGCCACCAAGGAATCCCTTGACCCCTGCAGCTCTGCAAAACTAGTGCCCAGTGGTAGAGGGCACTGTGTCCTGAAGGAATGGCCACAGGCGTGTCTGATACATATTCCCGGACACAAAGGACAAGTGTCATTGCCGCAGGCTAGTCTGGCTGCAGCTTATATGTCACCGACCCATGTCTATACTCAGGTAGTTTAGGTGAGTACAGCAAAGCCACGTATATTTGAGCATCTCCATGCCATTGTCTTGGGGCTAGAGGGGTGGGGGAGGGAGGATTCACGTTACAGCCACACATCTGCAGGTGCACCACTGCCTCTGTGCCTCTTCCTGCCTCCCCCAACCTCATGTGTCTTCCCTTTTGCACAATCCGTGGCCTCGGAGACTGCTGTCCAGGAGGAGAAGTGGACTAGGGGAGCCGACACTTGGCCTCCAGAGAGGTCTGCTGTCTGACAGCTTGTGGTGATGTCGGAGGGACATCAGTGCCCAGAGGTAGAAGAACTTCCGGCCCCCTATAACTCAGCTGACTCCTGCTGTGGCTCAGAGCACTTACCTCCAGAGCACTGTGGTTAAGCTGCGTTCTGGTGTCTGTCACCACCTTGGCCAGGGATTTCATGGTGCCCAGCAGTACCAATAAGTCAGAGGGTGAGCTCACCACCACCACGTGCTCTAGCAGCTCTGCCAGGATCGGTGGCACCTCCTCAGCAGGCTTGCCCTGGCCTCCCCGTAGCAGCTGGGACAGACAAGACAGCAAGAAGGGGTTGGAGGGAGAGTCCTCTTGAGAGACTCTCCTCTTGCCCAGCTCCTCCCTCCCGATGACAGCACCATCATGGAAGGAACCGATCCAATACTGTTGGGGCAGACATTTGATGGACTAAGGGTTGAGAATAGCACCTTCCCCACCATGCAGGTGCTTTTAAGTCCCCCACATCTACTTCCTCACCTTGCTGGCACCCAGTTTAGGGAAGCTGAATAACCTGCAGGCTGGGCCTCGAGTGCAGAGTGAGGAAAGGGTAGACAGGTCACGAGGATGAGGGTGTGGGCAGCAGGGTCAGAAGCTTTACCCAGGCTCTTTGAAGCAATTCCAGGAGGCCTGTGTCTGTGCAGCTGTTCTGGATGGGCCCCCAAACCCCATCAGGCCCACAAGGCCTCTTCACCATCCCTGTCCTGTCCACAGGACACGGTGCCTGAGCCACATGGCCGGCTTTGGTGACATTCCAGGCAACAACTGAGGAGTCCTCGGGGCAGGTGATATCGCCATCTGAGGAATGATTTCAGGGAAGGCTCAGCCACTGCAGTTGAGCCCGAGCCCTTGGGCAGACCTACACAGACTGTAGTCTGGCCCTGTGGCCCAGCGCAGGGAACGGTCCAGGTGGACAGGTGAGGTTGACCGCGGGGCATGAAACCCCACATACCCTGAATGATGGTGACAGAGACGGGGACCCTGAGAGTGGTGAGTCCCGGGCTCTGCAGGACACAGAAGTACGTGGTGTCAGCTGCAGGGCAGCGCTGAAGAGCCAGCACCAGGCATTGGGAGGCCGACGTGTTGACTAAGGAGGCTGAGGGTGAGGGAGGGAAGGGAACAGTCACTGTGGCAGAAACAGACCTAGAACCCAGCAGGCCCAGAGATGCCCTTCCAGTCTTTCTAGCAATTTCAGAAGTGGCTGAAGCAATGGGGAAGAGCCGAGCGGTATGTGGGCATCAAATTACTGAGGGCAAAGCTTGGTCTCTGATGAAGGGGACCCTAGGGACCTCTAGTTCCAGGACTTGAAGCCACAGGTATCTCCTTTATAAATGAGGAATCAAATTAACCTCACAGCGTGTTGGTGAGAGTTCATTGAGATTGTGTGGATGGAAGCATTTTGCAAAAAGCGATCTACACCCCAGTAGCTTTTGTTGTACCGATAGAATTGGAGCTGCTCTGGGGGGCCGAGGACAGGACTGGACTTGGACCCGAAACTCCGGGTTGAATTGCAGCCTCTGCTTCCTGGAGCGGGAGAGCCAGCTGCCTGGGGAGACTCCCTGCTCCGGCTCCCTCTCCCCTGCCCCGTGCTCCTTGTCCGCCGGCCACTTGCCCTACCTTGGCTGCCCTCGGCGGGGCTCCAGGAAGCCGTGTATTCCTGGTGTGTCCTGGGGATGCAGCAGCTCAGCTGGAAGCCGGGGGAGGTGGCGCAGGAGATGGAGAGCTGGTCTGGAAGCTGAGTCACTTCAGTTGCCTGCAGGGGCAACTTCACCATCTGGTACAGCTCCCACCTGAATCCCTGGGCCTCAAAGCAGCACATGTACTTGCCTGCAGATACACACCTGCTGCACCACCTGGCTCTGTGCCAGCAAGCTCTGCTGCTCCCCAGGCCACACCCCAGGTCAGCAGTCTCCAGCCTCTGCTGACCACCCAGGGCTTCACCCCAGCCGGGAGGAGCCCTGCCCCCAAATGATTTCCAGGAGGGAGAAGAGATGAGGGGAAGGGGCTCCTGGCCCTTTTTATTAGCCTGTAGCCATGAGCCTCCAGCATGACCGCCTGTCCTTCCAGGGCACGGCCCGCCTTCCCCTTTTCCTGCCACCTCAACGTCTTGATGAGAAACTCGCATCCGAGCTCAGCTGACGCAGACCGCCTTTCCAGCATTTTCCCTCAGGCTTCACGTCAGCGAGCCTCAGCCTTATTCCTCAGCGGGAATGAGTGGAAGGGGGAAAAGAAAAGAGGAGAAAAGAAAGGACGCTGCAGGGAGCAAGGACGGGGTCGAGGGCAGTGGAGAAAAAAGAGAGGGAAGAGAAGGGCGCGCGGGAGCAGGAGGGAGGGCTAGGCTGGCTACCTGCCCACTTCTGGGAGATGCTGGAGATGCTGAGGACAGCCCGGCCCTGGCTGGAGGTCAGAGACACGCGTGTGCCCTGCTGCAGGGGGATGGGCCTGGGGCTCCCTGGGCGCCACAGGAGCCAGCTCAGGTTGGTGGTCTGGTGGTTTGCAAGGAGGGTCAGGTTCAGTGTGTGACCAGGCGTCTGCAGCCAGGAGTTCAGACTCAGGGTCCCGGGCACTGTGGGGAGGCAGAAGACAGGGGACCCCTGGAGCAGGGCCTTGTGGTTCTCAATGCGGCTAAGCCCGCACTCCTCACTTCTCCCCGCCTGGCACCTTTTCTTTTGTCTTGTTCCTGGGAGAGTGTAACCCCTGCGGTCTGGTCAGGAAGACCCCCTCTGTCATCAGGAACCCAACAGGGTCGTTTTGGTCTGATTTCCCCTTCCCCAGGAGAGAATTGTCTCTCCTTGTCCGTGTGTCTCTGGAGCTGTGTCGCTCATCAGTCTGACTACTCGAGTCCCAAGTTCAGGGCCTGTGCTGGCTGGCACCCCAGGGAGCTGCTGGGCACGTGCCAGCTGGCACAAGCACAGGGGTCAGAGAGGAGAGGACCACAGAGAGGGTTTCTTTCACTTGGGGTCATAGCCTTCCAAGTTCCCAGCCCTCCTCACCAGGTGGCAGCAGCTGGCAGTAGCCGGCTTCAGTAGGGCGGAAGATGAGACAGTCGCAAGGCTGGTGTTTGTGGGGCTGTTCGCAGGGCGGGTGTTGGGAGCAGACACTGACATTCCACTGGTACCCAGAGAGGCAGGCACAATGGCGGGATTCCTGGAGGACGCGACACTCTGTGACGGGGTTGGGGAATGAGAAGTAAGGGGCTGTCTGAGAAAGCCAGTGTCAGTCACACGCACCCTCCAGGGCTGGCCCTTCACTAGGGTTCATAGTCACTGAGGTCCCAGTGCTGGACAAGGGTGTAGGGGTGGAGGTAGAGAAATCCCAGGCCCTCTGCAAAGGCTGGAAGCTGGAGGCGGGGGCAGGAAAGGAAGGTGGGGTTTGGTGGGGAGGTGGGGCAGGAGCTGCCTCCAGGGAGCAGAGGCAGGGACTCCAGCCAAACTGTTTGGGAAGCCCATGTTTGCTTCTGCTGAGCCCTCTTCCCACACAAGAAGTGGCGCAGAGACGGGGAGGCCAGTAGAATGTCTCCCCTACCTGTCGTGAGGCTGAGGCCAGTGAGAGATATTGGTGGGGAGGAAGCTGAGGCAGGGGGCAGATTCAGGGTCCTGGAGAGCTCCTTCCTCCAGGTCTCATTTGACAAGCCCAGCAGAGCATAGACTGAGAGCAGCATTGAGTCTGCAGGAGCAGAGGATGCAGCTGGAGAGGAGCGGCAGCAAGGCCATGGGTCCTACACCTTTTGCCTCCCACACTTGGCTGGTCACTGCCAGACAGCCTATGAGTCCCACTTCCCATAGGTCACCTGGCCCAGATAGGACTCGGGAAGGTCTTAAGGCCTCATCGCATCACCCTAAGGTGCATTCAGATGCACTGTTTCATGTCACCGCCCCCCACCCAACACCCTCTACTTTATAGATGACATCCTCTAAGAGGACTGACTTCCCAAGGCCTACTCGAAGCTGGTGAATGTGGGACCTGCCTGACCAGACTTGCCAGATCCAGTCCTCCCTGTTTGCCTAGTACACCCTTGTTGTGCCTCTTCTAGTCCTTTCTTTCTGCCTTCTCCCTCTCCTCCTTCCACTCCTCCTGCCCATCCACTCACCACCTGCTGCATTCTCTTGGTCCAGTTGCTGCCCAGTTTCCCCTCCAGTCTGACCCTGTCCCTGGAACAGAGCACAGAGGAGAGGCTGCTGAGCAGAGGTTGACCCCAAGTTTCTCCTGGGATACCCTCTTCACTGTGGTTCCAGGGCTAGCTTGGCTCATTGGGCAGGACTCCTCTTGGAAGTGCCTCCTTTTGCCTGAAGTCAAGTGGGCACATCAGAAGAGGAAATCAAGCTTCTGATTCCCTCTTCTGTCAGAAAGGTGTCAGGAAGCAGCCCCAGAGGCCCCACCAGGGCCTGCTCATTCGACCTGAACCCAGGAACCAAACACACCTGGAGAGTCAACATGCTTTGCTTAATTCCTTCCTGAATTTACCTGACCCTGATTTCTAGGGTAATTGAAATGGCTGGATCTGGAGCTCCAAAGGGAGAGGCGGCCAAAGCTGCCTGAGACTTGGGGACCTCTAATTCCATTATGGGAATTGCCCCCCCCCCCCAGTAAACTGTTTCCTCACCAACTCCTCTTCCTCTCAAGCTTGCAGGTACATTTGGATATGGATCTGAAAACAGCTACTGACATAGATAAGGTTGTAGCTAGAGATAAAGATACCCAGTGGGAGAAACAGAGCAGAAAGTACTCATCTAGACTCTGCTTCCTTTCCTCCAGTCTCTCCGGTCCTCTGCGCCACTGGTCCCCAAATCTGGGAAAGTTTTCTTTGCATTTTTAAATTGCCAGCTTGACTGTAAGAGCCCTCATCCAAAGTTCAGCAGGCATCATTGGAATTCACAGGACCCAAGGAAAGAAACAAAAGCTCTCCCCATACCTTGGAAGACTGAACTCTGAGGCTTAAATAAGGTGAACCTATAAAAAATCATCTGTTTTTTATACATTATTTGCTCTTCCTCCAGCCCTTTGCCTCCATACCTCACTCCTCTCATACCTAGGCCCCTAACTTCACCTCTACAGACTTTCCCTGGGCCTTCCAGGAACCCAGTCTTACTTACAGGTTGGGATGCTTCGGCAGGCGGTGACCCCACCAAGGGGAGAGTCATGGCCAGGAGTAGCACTGGGGCAGCCCCTGAACAGACCATGGCTCAGTGAAGCAGTCCTCAAGAGCCTTCCTGCTGCTGCGTGATGCAAATTTCCTCTGAGAATCCTGGTAGTGCAGTGCACAGGGGTGGGGAGTAGAGTGGCAGGGAGCCAGGACTGAATTTATAGAGGAAGTGCTACAGCCCATGACCAAGTCAAATGGGCATACAGGTCACTCTGGGTTCCTGGTAGGAATTGGCTGTTTTCCTACTTTTCTACATTTTTCAATTCTATATTCTATAATTGATACTGAGCCATGGGGCGTGCTGCTTGGTGCACATTAGGTCAGTATTATGACATTGACATTTTTTAGAAGATTTATTTATTTTTGCATACAAGAACTGGGATACAGACCAGAGGTATGGGGTGGGGGTGAGAGGATTCAGAGACAGAGTGGGGAGCAGAACAGGCAGATCTACTGAAATGCACTGCTGAGGGGAGCAGTGGGTGAGACAGGAGAGGTCTGCTGCACCATGTGGATCAGCTCCCTGGCTGGGGATCGAACTTGTGCTGCAATAGCTGTAGGTAGCTTCATAGTGCTGAGCCTTAGCCCCTTGCACCACCAGGGAGGCCCCTGACATTGACATTTTGAAAGAAGGAATGGTTTATCTGCAAAATAACTGGCAGAAGACGAGTTAAAATTCAAATTTGCCTTTCCAACAGGCACGTGAAAAAAAATGCTGATCATTACTTATTACCAGGGAAATAGAAATCAAAACCACAATGAGACACCACCTCACACCTATGAGAATGGTCTGTGTCAAAAACACCAGAAACAACAAGTGTTGGAGAAAAGGTGGGGAAAAGGAAACCAAACTATACCGTTGGTGGCAATGTAGGCTGGTCCGGCCCATACTGGACCAGTCTCCATACTCGAAAACAGTATGGAGGTCTCTAACAATATTATTGCTATTTGATCCAGCATTCCTTCTAAGGATCTATCTGAAGCATGCAAAAACACTAATTTGAAGGGATGCTCTGACTTATGTTCACTGCAGCATTATCTACTAGCCAAGTCACAGAAACAGCTTACGGGCCCAACAACAGATGAATGAATTAAGATGTGGTATATTTACACAATGGAATACTACTCAACTATAAAAAATGACCAAAATCTTGCCATTTGTGGTAATGTGGATGAAATTGGAGGGAATTAGGGTGAGAGACATAAGTCAGAAGTAGAAAGACAAATAACATGATTTTACTCATATGTGAAACATAAAGAAACAAAGGAACTGACAAAACTAAACCAAAACAAACTCTAGGAATTCAACTATAGAATTGAGGTGAAGCGGGGGGTGGGGGGGTCCGTGGATTATGGTGAAGGATTATGGGTGCTCTGGTGGTGGACATGGTGTGGTCAGATAACTCTGAAGAGGTGTGAACCCATACTCCCAAATCAGATTCAGTGTTGTAAAACAGTACAGTGTTTTTACTTCAATTGAAAAAAAAAAAGAACCTCTCCCCCAACCCTAAAATCTGCCTTCCAGCCCAAGAAAGGAAACAGGTTTATATCAATTTGGGGGGAGTAGGGTCCTTTTCCTGGTGCAGATATCATCCGGGTGGTTTCCTTTGCTGTCCTTTTGCTTCCATGTTGGTTGTCTCTTGGTTCCCAAAGTGTAGTTTAAGGTTCATTTCTTCCGTGCACGCGGGATGCATGCTCACAGTGGGCATCACATCCTGCTGCTTCTGTAAAAACTGTGAAAACAAGCTCAACAGATTGTTAACCACACCCAACTGTTTCTGCTGATGGCAGATCAGCCAACGTTTCACAATGGAAAAAATACTAATAAAAAAATCAAATCTTAAAGTCTCAACTTCTTTCTTAAAGACCAACTGGGTTTAGAGTCTGTCAGTGTTTGCCTCGGTGTCACCAGTTGTCAGGAAGCACCCACTGACTGAATCAGGTGAGGGTGAGGTTCAGACAAACAGGTACGTATTGCTGCCACCTATGCGCTCCCAAGTCCAAGGTGAAACAAGGCTATTGGCCTTTGTCTGTCTATATACATAATGATACTCTGAAACCAATACTTTTTACTCCTGCTGGCAGCTTTGCTGAGCTTCCAGGTTGCACCATGGAACTTCCTTTCCCATTCCTTTGTGCTTTGATCCTAACAGGCCATGTCAGCAGGTCTTTGATAACAAAGGTTTGTGATCCCTGACTTCTCTTATCTGTATCCAAACAGGTATTCTGAAAACTTCCTTTACTCTGTAAACCACTAATAGGTTACTAAACAGTAAAGGTGGCTTAGACCTTTATCCCATGAGTCTTAACTTTTTTTTCTCTTTCCAATTGACATGGCATTAAGTCACTAGAAATAGGAAATGATTGCTAGAATGAGAAAGGACCTTTGTTGAGACATCATCAACTTCAACTCTCACTTTACAGAAAAGGAGAAGGAACCAAGAAGGGAAACTGATTCGCGAAAGATCACACAGTCAGTGGGTGCTGGAGCCAAAGCTTACAGCTAGCTTGTCTGACTTTGAACCAGGAACTTAGGGAGAGGGTAATAAGATATGTCAATTTAAATATAGGATAGTAGCATCTTCTGGCTACAAGAATGACTTCAAAATAATATAGAAATTGGCTCCACAAAGAAGGTGGTTCTTCAGACATCTCAGCTTCTTTTCCTAAGGAGAAGAGGAAGTGAATATAATATAAAAAAGAGGTGGTTACGGAAAGAGCAGAACGACATTCACATACAAAAGAATAAACTTGGACCCCTGCTTCAAACTACATATACAAATAGAATTTTATACTATTAGTGTAAGGGATATGCAACATGATACAAAGCATCAAGAAGAAGAAGAAAACAAATTCCAAAAGTTAAAAAATATATAAAAAAAATAAAACACAAAGCACCAAGAAGGACATTTAAACTTGTTTTTTTTCCTGGGAAAATCTTTTGAAGGAATATAATGATGAATGAGTGTGGAGAGGTAGACATGAGTCAGATTGCACAGGGCCATGAAAACCACAATTAAGAGCTGGGAACCACTCATTAGTTAATCTGTGGAGATGTTCCATTCGAGTAGTATAACTCCAATGTAGTAAATCCAAGTATATTTTCAATGCTATTGAAATACCTAAAATTTAAAGGCACTCTTATAGGGAATCCATTCGCTCATTTGTTTGTTTGTTCATTCATTATTCATTCATTCATCTAGTCGCTAATGAATATTAAACACCATTGCCAGATACTATGCCAGGTCCTAGAGATTCAGTGGTAGTGTGGGCTGAAGGTATCTTGGTGCATTTGCCAAGATAAGATTTGGGCACAGAGATCGTGACAGCTGTTACGGAGTGTACTATCTCTGTTAGTTGCTAACAAGCATTACAGATGGAGGGGATCTGATAGAGCAGTGTGCAGAGAGGAGGGGAAAATGCATAGCTGTTTATTCAGTTTGAAACCTTGATGGGGGCCTTCAAGGTGGCGCAAAAGGTTAAGACACAGCACTATGAAGCTATCCGCAGCCACTGCAGCACAAGTTCGATCCCCGGCCAGGGAGCTACCCACATGGTGCAAACCTCTCCTGTCTCGCCTGCTGCTCCCCTCAGCAGTGTATTTTGGTTCATCGGCCTGTTCTGTTCCCCACTCTGTCTCTGGTGAATCCTCTCACCGCCCACCCCCCCCACACACAAACACCTCTGGCCCTTACCCCAAAATAAATATTTTTTAAAAAAAATTGTGTCCCACCCATAATCATGGGTTTACTATGGAAGTAGACAGTTTGCACATGATTAAGAAAAATTATTCTGGATTATCTGGGTGGGCCCAGTGTAGCCACAGGGCTCTTATAAAAGAGAGACAGCAATGTGAATGAAAAAAAGGAGATCTACAATAGAAGCAGAGCTTAGAGTGATGTGCTTTGAAGATGGAGGAAGAAGCCATGATCCAAGGAGTGTAGGACCACTGGAAGCTGGAAAAGACAAAGACATGCATTTCCCCCTGGAATCTCTAGAAGAAACCTCACCTTGCTAACATCTTGATTTTCACCCTGTAGGATTCATTTCAGACTTCTGACCCGCAGAAGTGTAAGGTGCCACGTTTGTTTTATTTAGGTCACTAAATTTACAATAATTTTTAAATAGCAGCTATACGAAACAAACTATGCAGTGACAAAAAAAAATTGGTCATTGTATTTTTCAGTTCTAAAAATTTCTCAAAGAAAATGTCTATTTCTTCACTGAGATTTTTTATCTTTTTGTTCATTTCAAGAGTGTTCCTGTTTATGACACTTTTGTAATAGTTGCTTTGGTGTATTTTTCTGCTAAGTCAACACCCGAGTCACTGGTGTCTGTTGATAGTTTTTCCCAGGCAACTTGGTTTTCCTGGTTCTTCATTGGCAAGTGGTTTTGGATTTTATCCTGGATATTTGAGTATGATGAGACTATTTTATTTAAATCCTATGGAGAATGTTGGTAATTTTGTTGCATCTGTTGCAATTGACCCGGTTTGGTTTGGTTCAGGACCCAACTTCTGACCAGCCTAATGTGGATTGTGTTTTTAGCTCTTCCGTCTTTGCAGTGCTATTTAATTTACTGCATATTGTGCCACCCAGTGGCCAGTCTGGGACCTGGGTGATGATCTATCCTTTAATACAGTTCTCAAAGTCTGTGGTATAATGTTTAGGATCAGATCCACCCATTTGTAACTGTCTCTCTCCTCTGCTGTCAGTATATTTTTGGTTGTCAGGAGCCATTTTGTGCTTTTCTTTTTAACGTCAAACTAACAATCCATTTTGCCTTTTATTTTTAAAGGCTTATTTATTTATGCATACAAGAGCTGGGTAAAGGCCAGAGGTGGGGGGGTATGAGAGGATTTGCCAGAGACAGAACAGGGAACAGAACAGGTAGACTGAGACTGACTGAAATACGCTGTTGAGGGGAGCAGCGGGTGAGACAGGAGAGGTCTGCTGTGCCATGTGGGTAGCTCCCTGGCATATGGCAGGCCGAGGATTGAACTCATGCTGCAGAGGCTGCAGATTGCTTCATAGTGCAGTGCTTAAACCAGTTGCGCTACCAGGGAGGCCCTGTGGATGTATACATTTTATCCATTCATCAGTTAATGGACATCTGGGTTGTTTCCATTTGGGGGCTATATGACTAATGCTACCTGGAACATTCATGTTTAAGTTTTGGGGTTCATACCTAGGGGTGGAATTGCTGGGTCATTTGGTAACTTTATGTTTAACTTATTGGGAAACTAGCAGGCATTTTTTCCCACAGAGGCTGTACCATTTAAAGATCTCACCAGCAAGGTGCAAGGATTCCAGTTTCTCTTGATCGCTGCTAATACTTATTTTCTGGGGTTTCGCCTGTGTTTTTGTACCTACTCATTTATCTTTTAAATGACTATGTTTTGACACATTGATATGCTATTGCTTGCCATTTGGGTTCTTGTTTCATTGGGCATTTTGATTGCTTGCATTTTCCCCTCTGCAATTATAAAGCTGGCTCCTTATAAATCTTTGCAACAAAGACTCTTATTTCCTGGAAGTATATTCTTCTAAAGAGGGGTTACTAAATCAATGGAGATGAAGAGCTTTATAGCACTGTGGCTCAATGCTTTGTTTATTTATCTTTATTCCCTTGCAGTTCAATTTAATTCAACAAAAACTTGGGACTTATGAGTATGATTATGTGTCCCTTAATGATAGGGTAAAGATCTGAAAAATGCATTGTTGAGTGATTTTGTGATGGAGTGATTGTGTGACCATGATGGAGTTTATTTACACAAGCTCGATGGTGTGCTCTACTACCTATCTAGGCTTTACAGAGTCCACTGTCATACATGCGGTCCATTGTTGACTGAAATGTAATGAAGCACAAGACTGTCCTAGGCATCGTGCTAGGTTTAGAGGCAAACATACAGTTCTTACTCGAGGGTAAGAACTATGATCTAAGAAATAGATCTAAGAAAATAGAAAATATCTAAGAAAATAGATCATTTCATAACGTGAGTGGGAAGAAAGTTATGCACAGGATGCTATGGAAACACAGAGGAACAAAATTCACTATAATAAATGGAGGTGGGAGTAGGTTGAGGATTGGGACAAAAAACGACTTCTTGGAAACTAAAACTTAAGGTGGATCTTGAAATTATGAAAGGGATCTAGCCAGGCATGAACAAAGGAATAGAGACTTTTTTTTTAAAAAAGATTTATTTATACAAGCACTGTGTACATTTAGAAGCACGGGAGGGTGAGAGAATTCACCAGAGCCAGAGTGGGGAGCAGAGCAGGCAGACTGAGGGGAGCAGCGGATGCGGTAGGAGGGGTCTGTGGAGAGGTCTGCATGCCATGTGGGACCCTCGCTAGGGGCTGGGGATCGAACCAGTGCTGCAGAGGCTGCGGGCAGTTTCGCAGCCCAGGTCTCAACCGCTGCGCCACCAGGGGAGGCCCTCAAGGGTCACTCTTACAGTTTGTCTTTGTCTTACCCTTTGTTTGATTTCCCTGTATTCCAAATATAAGTGAAACCACCCGGTATTTATCTTTCTCATTCTGGCTTACTTTGCTTAGAATAATCCCTTCCAGTTTCATCCATGTTGCCGCAAATGGCACGAGTTTTTTTTTTTTGAGTGCTGAGTAATATTCCATTATGTATATGTACCACATCCCACCTGCTCTGGGACATTCAGGTTGTTTTCATATCTGGGATATTGCCAGATTTCTTCCTAATGAAATTAATTTACTATCTTGTCTTTTTTTTTTTTTAAAGATTTATTTATTCTTTATTTATTCATACAAACACTGGGTACAGTCAGAAGCGTGGGAGGGTGAGAGAATTCACCAGAGCCAGAGTGGGGAGCAGAGCAGGCAGAAGGACCGAAGTACACTGCTGAGGGGGAGCAGCGGGCGGCAGGAGAGGTCTGCACGCCATGCGGGACCCTCCTCCGGTGGCCGGGGAGCAGCCTGGGATCGAACCGGCGCTGCAGAGGCTGCGGGCAGCTTCGCAGCCCAGTGCTCAACTGCTGCGCCACGGGGGAGGCCCTACTATCTTGTCTTGTAGTTATAGCTTGTGAAGTGGTAGCTTGTGTGTAAAGATTGCAATATTTCCCCCATCCTTTTATGTAGGTCCCATTGCCAGGAGTCTTTGCCATTCCACCATTAAATAGAGGTGGAATCTATTTCCCTTTCTATGAATCTGGGTTGCCATTTTGATTTGTTTTGTCTGGTAGAATGAGACAGAAGTGACATTGTGTGACTTACTAGACCTTGAAAGGCCTTGCAACTTCCATTTATGTCCTTTTAAAATTATAGTAAGACCAGGGCCTCCCTGGTGGCGCAGGTGGTTGAGTGCTGCACTCTGAAGCTGTCCACAGCTTCATGAACTTGATGTTCATGTTCATGAGTAATTATTATAACAGAAAAACAATCACACATCTTTAAAATGTACCTACTTTCAGGTCTAAGGAGGTGGTTTCATAGTTTTCCTTTCATTGAGTCAATTTCCTTTTTAAAGGGAGATTCAGATTAACTTCCTTCTCAAAATAGAGCACTTCACAGAACGTTACAGAAGTCATTGCTCATTCCTTCAAAAAATGTATTTGCAAGCCAGAGAGGTGGGTGTAGGACATGAGGAAAAGTACGATGTGTCAGATACAAATCCTCCTCTGGAGCAAAGAGGAAAGTGACACGTAAGTTTATTGATCATCTATCATGTACCAGGTATAATGAAAAAAGCTTTATTTCTCTTACCTTATAACAATCTAATACTTTAGAAGGGGAAATAAGACATATACAGAAATTATAATATACTAGGCATATATTTTGAGCCCCTAATAAATGTTTTTTGACTGAACCAATGTAAGAAACTTGAGTAAAAACAATTGCCTTTTTTTTTTTTTTAAGATTTATTTATTTCTGCATATAAGAGCTGGGGTACAGGCCAGAGGTGTGAGGGGTGAGAGGATTCACCAGAGACAGAGCAGGGAACAGAATAGGAAAATGGACGGGAATTCACTGCTGAGGGGAGCAGCTGGCAAGCCAGGAGAGGTCTGCTGTACCATGTGGCTGCTGATAGCTTTATAGGTTGCCTCTTAACCCTTGCACCACCAGGGAGGCCCCTGCCCTTGTTTTGAAGACCCAGAGATTGAGAGGTTTCTTTAGGCAGTACCTTTCCATACCAAAGGGCTACGTCCTGTTGGGTTGACCATTTCCAAATTGTGCAATTAAGTAATGCTGGCCAGGGCCTCCCTTGTGCCCTAGGGGTTAAGTCTCAGTGCTATCACCACTATGGTGCTCTCAGGGAGCTAACCCACACATGGCACAGCAGACCTCTCCTGTTTCCTCTGCTCTTCCCCTTACAGTGTATGTCAGTAAGTCTGACTGTTCTGCCTCCCACTCTGTCTCTTATGAATCCTCTTACATCTCGCATCTCTGGCCTATGCCCCGGTTCTTCTAGGCAAAATAAAAAAAAAAGTCTTAAAAAAAAAAGTAAAGTTGGGCAGAATCAATCTGAATTCTGATTTCCTAATTTTTTTAAAAAATATTTTTTAAAAAATTTGTTTATGTATACAAGAACTGGGGTACAGGCCAGAGGTGTGTGTTGGGGAGCTGTGAGAGGACTCACCAGAGACAGAGTGGGGAACAGAACAGGCAGAGATAATGAAATACACTGCTGAGGGGAGCAGTGGGCAAAGACGAGAGGTCTGCTGCGCCATGTGGGTTGCTCCCTGGCTGGCCCCGGGGGGATCAAACTCATGATGCAGTGGCTGCGGGCGGCGCTGCAGGGAGGCCCTGATTGCCTAATTTGCAGGGAAAATGCCTTCCACCTGAAAGCCTTGTTACAGGCTTGATGATAATCTATGTAAAATTCAACACACAGAGGATGCTCAATAAATAGTAACACCACTACTATTAATTTTATTGCTAGATTGACACACAGTAGCCATTGACCTAGTGTTCTTTCCAGTTTGCTGCAGAAACGCTCTTCCTGCAGATGGGGCGAAGGGCCCCTGGAGCCCGAGCGCTCAGCGCCGTCATCTGGTGGGGAGACACAGGCAACCCCCCTCTGGAACACAGTGATAGTGCGGACTGTGGCGCGGCGGTCCAGGAGTCACTAACGATGTTGACTTGAGGGTTTCGCCTTCAACGCCCCTGCAAGCCCCTTCACCGACGACAACGCCTTCCCCGGCCTCTCAGGGCTTCTCCCCAGGTCACGAGCGGGAGCGGGCGGGGCACAGCCCTTCTCCGTCCCTTCACGCCTGAAGGCAATCACCCCTTGCCCTGGCACCACCGAACCAAGACCAACACCGCCGAACCAGGACCAACACCGCCGAACCACCCCCTCCCCAAGACTACAAGAGCACCCCCAAATCGCCACCCGGGCGCCCGCTCCTCACACTAGCGCGCCTTCCCCGGGGACAAGGAGCAACGCCCCCTGGGAAATTGACCTTTCACCTCCCTCCTCCTTACCTCAACTCACCAATTTTGACGCTAGCAAATGAAACGACGAGGAGACCCGGAAGGCGGGACTTGGTGTTGCCTGATCCATGCTGATTGGGCGATGACAGGGGGCGGCCCGCGCGAGCGGGTTGGCGCCCCTCCCTCGGTGGGCGGGGAGAACTGGGGGCGGCGCATGCGCGCAGGGCGGCGGCGGAAGTGGCCCGGTGGCGACGCGTGCGCGGTGGGCGGAGCGCGGCTCTTTACCTCCCTGCCGGGCCAGGTCCGCCCAGCCTCGCCTCCCCGGTGCGCCGCGCGAGCGTCCCTGCCTTGCCGCGGAGAGTCGCAGCCCGGCGGCCGCGTGGTGTTCGGGTCGCCATGGCTGGTTACGAATACGTGAGCTCGGAGCAGCTGGCTGGCTTTGATAAGTACAAGGTAGTGCGAGCCCCGTGGACGCCCCTTTCCCTGCCCGTCCGGCCTCTCCGGGCAGCTGAGGGGCCGGCGCGCCCCGTGTCACCTTGTGCCGCGTGGCCCCGGGCGGGCTGGGGCGCATTTCCCCGGGGTCCTGCCGCGTCTGGGGGGCTGGGGGTCGAGCGTGCCTGGGAGCATCCTAGGCCCGCCGCCGGGATCGGCGCCCCCGCGGGATCGCCTGGTTCTCGGGGGATCGCTGGACGGGAGTGGGGCGAGGGAACCCCGTTCTCTTCACTTGGTCGCCAGCATCGTTGCTGCAGCCTGCTGAGAGGAGGTGCAGCGCCCTGCCGTGGGGTCTTAATTGTCAGCTTTTAATGAAGTTTTTACCCGCCTCTTTTGCATACAACTTCAGAGATGGAGAAAGAAGATCGTTGGGCAGATGAGGCCCGGGGAGGGGGGAGACTAGAGCCCCCTCCGGCTGGGGCGCCCCACTTCGCTGCCATTAAGGAGGCTTCCTCGACAGTAGCTGGTGCCACTTGGGCTGCCAGATGTAAATGGACACAGGAAGGAACTGCGTAGTGGAAAGAGCGCCGCCGGCTCTGGAGTACTTAAAAACTTGATACCAAAATCTAATTTTCTCTTTTTGGCTTTCAGCCAAGTGATAGTCTACTGTGCAAAATGATTATCAGAATTTGAGAAGCTCCTCGCACGTTAGGGCCTCTCCAGTAAATGCTGGTTAACTTTCTTCAAAATCTGGTTCTCCTGCATTGTTCCCTTATCAGTGAATGACTCCGCCGACCGTCCAGTGTCCAGGCACGAGAATGTGGACAGTAACCTTTCATCTTTGTTACCCGTGTCACTTTTATTTCTGATTTTCCTACCCACCCACTAGCCAGTGAATCAGCAGGTGCTGTCCTGTGTGTTCTGTCATTTGTAGCCTCTGCAGAAGAGTGGTTCTGTTATCACTACCCCTGCAGACACTTTAAATAATCTTTTACTTAAAAATAGTTTCAGAATGTCTTACAGTAGCTTGACAGAATCTGGAGGGGTGATAGAACAGAGTTCCCAGGGACTCCATACCTAATTACCCCTATTTTTAACATCTTACAATTAATAAATCAATATTTACGCATTATTACTAACTGAAGTACATACTTTATTCAGATTTACTTAGTTTTACCTAATGCTCTTTCTTTTGGTTACAGGATCCTATCTGAGACACCACATTACTTTAGTCACTATCTCCTTAGGCGCTTCTTGGCGAGGAAAATTTGTCATACTTTCTTTGCTTTTGTTAAACTTGACAGTTTTGAGGCGGTTCTGGTTGGGTAGTTTGCAGAATGTCTGACATTGGGATTTGTCTGGTATCTTTTGCATGAGTAGACAAGGGTTATGGGTGTTTGGGAGGAAGATCACGGAGATAAAGTGCCAGTCTCACTGCATGCTATGAAGAGTACATGCTGTGACCATGACTTACCTCTGTTGGTGTTGACTTTGATCACCAGACTGAGATAGCCTTTGTCAAGTTTCTCTCTGTAAATTGACTCTTGTGGGAAGGCAGTCACAATGCACAGCCTGAACTTAAGGAGTGGAGAAGTAGCCTCCTTGAGGGCAAAGTATCGATATAATTTATTTGGGGTTCTGTCTTTTCTTTCCAGTGTATGTTTTCATGGATATAAAATCAGTATGTATTTATGGATATTTGCTTATACTTTGGGTTGTGATCCCATATTAAATTTTATTGCTTACCCACATCTGCTTTTGCCCTTTCCAGTTCTTTCTGGAACTGGAATCTATGAATTTCATAGTGATCTGTTCACATCACTTCTTTGCCTAAAACCTTCCACTGTCGTATTGTTAGAATGAGGTCCAAAAATCTATCACATGATCCAATCTTTATGTGTGTCATCAGCTTCATGTCATGCCACTTGCTGAGCTTCTCCCCCACCCCTGCCTTTTTTCCACATTGTCAAGAATTGTTATGTATGCCAAGGGTGTAGCGCCCCTCCCATTTATGTTTATAGTCACATCTTAAACTTAGAGAGGGTGACTAATACCCTAGTTCCCCACTAGTCCCCTTTCCCTTTATTGTAAGGTGGTGCTCCTTTGTGGAATTAGTTCTTCAGTGTCTCCCCACTAGAATATAATGCCCAGGTGGTTAGACTTGTCTTATGCACCTCCATGGCCTGAGCCCTGTGCTGCTGTGCTAGGCATACTAGTTCCTCTGTAGACACTTGGGGGGTGAATGAATAACTGAAGAAAATCAATGTATTTTGTCTAAGGTTACATGGTACAGTCTTCTACTTTTAATCAATATTGTGCATACCGCTTTGAACTGAGGTGCTGTCTTGTCGTAAAATTCTAAGTGGGAACAAATTCCAGACTTTCCTAGTAACCAGGCCAGGGTTGAACAACTTTTATCAAAGAAGACTGTTAACCCCCATATCTCTTGTTTTGCCTTAAACTCTACCCCCTTTCTGTTTTCTGTTCTGTATAGTAAATATTGACATGAAACTTTTGCTTCTCTACTAGGATCTGACTTCCTGGGTAAGTGCCAATAGTATAAATGTTCATTTGCAGCAGTGTCACTGGTAGGGAATCTTCTTTTTCTTATGAGCAAGCATCCCTAGATTAAAATTTTCAACTAGATAGGTGTCCTAATTTACAGGAAATTTTAGTGTGACTTTCTGGTCCTATCTTTTCCCCGCTTCTGTTATCTGACTCAGTTCCTGTGTCTGACAGCAGATTTCCTGTGATCCTGGAAAACAAAGATCAATTTAGCAAGTGTCCAGTGTTCACTGAAATACAGTTCGTTGATACTACTTTAGTTGTAGTGAGGTTTTTTTTTTTAAGGGGAGGGCCACAAGTTTGTGATGTACACTAGTTCTAGTAGAGGGTTCTTTAGTCACTATTGTGTTCTTATTAAAATATATGAATCCAAAGGTCTAAAGGAAAAATATGAATGATTTGTTTTACTGGCTTGAGTTGCACCTAGAGACCTTTTTCTTTTTGGATCACGCATTCCCACCATGTGGTCTTTGGCATTAGGTGCTTTATGAATGCTTGCTGAATGAGAGCAGTGTTTGAAGAAGATCATCCCGTAAGAGGGTAAAGATGTAAGAGACTTAAAAGAAGTTTGTTCCCTAGGTGGCCCCGCTTATTAGAGCAAAGAGATAAAGAGAAAAGTTGCGACTACAAAAGTAGTGGTTAGAAAAATTACTTTTGAACCACTTTAATTTCTTTATGTTCCCTAGAGGTACATCTGAGAGCTACAGTTGGAAAGCTGACAATTATTCAGAATAACAGCTGGAGGGGTTCACGCATAGAGGGGTGATTAGGTTCTCTGGAGTAAGAAACTGTGAGAATTGATTTGCAATATGGAAGAAAGCATGGGTTGGCTTCTGTGTTATATGCTGTCTCAACACTCGTGTTCTCTGTTGTGTTAGCACAATTACATTAAACAGTTAGAATAGTTAGTTGATTGTCTGCCTCTTTTGTTACCTTGTGAGCTCAGAGGCAGGGGGCTATATAGCTGTCTTGTTCAACTTGACCAAAGACTAGCACAGGAACAGAGTAGGCACTTAACAAACATTTATTGCAGGAATGAAAGTGTAAAGAATATAAACCATTGTGGAAGCATGGTAAAAGGGGGCTGTGCAGCTTCTGGGTATGGGAAGGATACTTGTGCATTTTGAATGTGAAAATGGCAGGGGTTTAACCACCGTTCTCTGTTGCTTATTAATCTAGCTTCAGACAATTGTGTCTGAAGGGATCTTACTCATGAAGCTTATCTATCATTTGTTCCCTATGCCTGGCCTTTCTTTGGTCAGGTTGTTGGATTTGTAGGATTTTCCAGTTTATCTAAGGGTGAAACTTCTGTTGCTTCCTCACCTAATGTTCCAAGGAAGGCATAGTCCTGACAGTGTAGCAGTTAGTTTCAAATTGTATCATTTACTTCAGAGCGAAAGTGTTCTGTGAAATATCTTGTTTGGTTTCAAGAATATAATTTTATAATGAATTGGTTTCTGCTATTATGGTAATTAACTCAATTGTCAACAACAGTCTAATTATAAGAATTGTGATAATTGTGAATTCATTAGTATCACAATAAAGAGGTTGGAAAGAGACTGGGTGCATCTTGATGGTAAATGCTGAAAAACTAGAATCTGGCCTTCACCTACACTTACTCATACAGTTTAATTTTACTTGATACTATTTAAGATTTTCTCGAGGGCCCACTCTGTATGAGGCATAGCATTGAGGCTGCAAAATTAAGCTGGGCTAAAATTTCTGCCTTCAAGGAACCCAGTTTGGTGGCTTTTAGACAAGTAAATAAATAGTTATAAATAGTTAATAAATGTGCTTGGGTTAGTGTTGTGTGCTGTGGGAGAGGAGAAGGAAGCAGCTTCCAGGGTGTGAGCATTAGAGCCCAGAAGACTTCAGAGAAGGGATGGAGGGAAAAGAGGGAAACTGAGTTAGGCCCCCACTGTTACCAGGTGAAGGGGGACATCCGCATTACAGAATAAAGAGCAGTGGAATGCTGAGGGGTGGGGACCTAAGATGGTATTTCTGGCAACCACAAGAAGAGGTGTTTAGGCATAATGGTTGGAGTGACAGAGGCGACTGGAGAGGGAGGTGGGGCCCTGTCAGAGGGACTAATTTGATGGAAAGGACTTTTGGTTTTTACCCTGTAGATCAGTGTTTCTGTGGTTATGGGCTGTTGGCATCAGAGTCACCTGGGGAAAGTGTCAAAATAGCAGCATCTTAGGTCCATTTTGGGAGATTCAGGTTGGCCAGATTGCTATTAGTATTATGTTAAATACCTCAGGTGGTCCTTAGGTACAGTGTAGTGGAACCACTTAATTTTAAATGGGACCAAGGTTTAATTTTAGAAAGCTAGCACTGGCAGTTTGAGAAAATGAATGGATTGAGGTTTGGGTCATCTGGAGACATTTTAGGATTAGTTCTGGATAAAAGTAGATTTGAACTAGGAGTTCAAAACTTGCCCGCTTGGTTTAGCCAAC